CGGATTGTTTATCCTCAGACGATGGCACCTACCAGCGACGTGTCATAGTATTCGCAGTGTACGAGGTGATCACCAGGAGTTTACCGTACTTCACGGGCTTAAACCCAATCGAAAATCTGTGGGACCACATGTTCACGCCATGGATCATCAACCGCGCAACCTAGCGCACCTTTCATTTAAGTCGGCACGCCTCAACAGCCTTGTGAGTACCTTCCACAACCTAACTGACTCTCTTCTTGAACGTCTCGCACCGGTCCGCCTTCCGGAATTTGACAGGCTGATACATTAATGTGACTGGACTGAGTACTTCACGTTTTACTTCAAAATCTTTAGGCTACAATTGTTACAGCCTTCTATTTTTGTATTGTTTTCCCTATGTTTCATCCACGTGAGCTATTGATCTAGTGTTATTTCCACTCCGTTTACTTGGAGGAAGTTATATTTTTATTTTTTAAAGAGAGTGGTTTTATATTATGTTTCTTTTTGTGAATGGTATTAATGTGGTTTTGTTCGGGTTGACACCTAACCTGTTTTTAAATTTTCTACTAATCTGAGGACATTTAGCTATGTATTTCTTTTAGTATTGAACATACCTTCGATAAGTTTAAGTGCTTAAACGTCTTCAATTAGGACGTGCTGAAGATGGTAGCTTACAACAGATGGGTTTACAATTTTCTTTCGATAAGCAAAAGATTTTAATTTATCATTTTAAAAACTTAAGGAATTACTTTTTAGGATGGAATTATCTCGCACGCGTTGTACATACTCGAATAAATTAAATTCTTGTTGATGAGGATTAAAGAAAATGTGCGGAATGTGTTATTACAAAGAGAAAATATTTGACGATTCAAAACAGAGGCGGATTTATTACTGATAAGACAGTATTGATATTATTTGGTGGAAGAGGCTTAAGGAGACAAAAACAACGTCTGGCAAAATACAAGCGTTTACCAACAAAATCCCCCATGGTCCCGGGATAATTTTCCGATTCCTGATATTTAAACTGTCCGACCCTGATGCAGGGTCGAGTATATCAGCTGAGAGAAAATAAGCCCGAATATATTGTGATATAACGGCTCGAAATTACACACAGTGAGGGATAGATAAGCAAGATCTTTTTTACGACCGGTCGGAAAAGTTAACATGGCCGTTTTAACGCGATTTGAACTAGAGGAGAAAAAAAATGAGGCGTACAGACTAATTAGTGGTGTTTCCATGAGTGAAAATCGATACCACTTGAATTTGCACAGTGGAAGCTTTTTAAATTATGATAATTAGTGACAAATTTGAATACTTAATTTTACATTCAGAAGTTTATTTTTGTCTTGAATTACCTTAGCCATTTAAATAAACAACATGGATTTTTGCACGAAGCAACTTGTTGTTGTATTTATTTGAATGTTTCAGTTCTTTTCGTAAAATAAAAATGTAAAATCCTTTGCAGACACTTGTTTTTTTGTTTTTTTTTTATTGAATATTACAACTACCTACAATTTTTGGTAACAAGAATGGAGAAGAGTAAAAGAGAGAAAAAAGAAAAATCAGAGTGGACAAGCTACCAATAGGTAGCACTCCAAATTAGGTGCATTCTATCACATTTCACTATCCCTATCTTCACTAGATGAGCCATCGCTTCTTTAGCCTACGTGGAGGCTTTGAAGGGATTCGGGATGGTTAATGTTAACAGGGATTGATTTGTGGCACTTACGATATATAGATAGGATAATGTCGCGTACGGAGGGTATATTAAGGTCGTTGTGGATGGTATCAATCGATACTTAGAAGGGAGTATTTAGGATTTTTCTAAGGATTTTGGATTGGGATGTTTGGATACGTTGTATGTTGGGACTCTTGGCAGAACCCCCAAAGTTCCCAGTCCATCAGTTCGGTTTTACAATATTATTGTTAATTAGTCGTTTGTTAGTGTTGTATTGGATCTTGTCGAGTAGTTTTAGTCGTTTGTTAGTGCTGTATTGGATCTTGTCGAGTAGTTTTGAAAGGGTCTCATCAGTGCTTGTTTTTTAAGGCTCGTAGTGGATTCCACATAAGCCGCTTTTCGAGGTATCGTACCTGGTTTACAGTAGTAAGGTGGATATTACTGATGTAGATGGAAGAGCAACTCGTCGACGGAGTTGAAAGTAATGTTTATCGATTTATTTCTGTTTAGTTTAATTCCCTTTAGCTCTGCATTATCGTCCTATTAAAATAAGTTGATGCTGATGATTACGGTAAGAAGTGAATGGACACTTCGATGTCGACAGTTACATACCTAGAAGTATGTATCGTGTTATCGTGGAATACACGCCTTAAGAAAACCAACGACAGAGCAATGGCACGATGGATGCCAAAGACTCTTTGGTAGAACTTGAATGGTCATATCTGACAATTGTCAGCCCATTGGAAGGTCAAAGAAATTGTGCTCTTAAAACAACAGACTGCTACTTATCTACTTATATAAAAAGGATTGTAAGGATTGAGGAATAAAAAATTCATAGGTCAGTAAAAAGAATCATCAAGCAAAATTTTCGTCAAAGTTACTGACGTATCAGAATACAAGATTATGAAAAACCATTTAAAGAGAACAATGGAAAAATTAATTTTAATCAAACCTGGGGCTCTTCAGAAATATACTGATGACTCAAAGATGGGAAACGTTACGGGTATGGGCATAAGGTGCCTAACTATGAGCACCACATAGCCCTGGGTTCCATCAAAACCATCTTTCAAGTTGAACTACTAGCCATAGAAACATGTTCGTTTGGAATAAATAACAAACGTGTTAAGGGTGCAAAAATAAAATAATCTGTGAAATAGCCAGGCAGTTCGATAGGCTCTCCAAGCTTACAACCAGTTAAAACTTGTCTGGAGCAGCCTAAATATTTTAAAAAACATGGATCTTCAAATACTCTAACGTTATGGTTTCAAAGCGTCCAGCTCGTGAGATTTCAGGCAACTAGGCTCAAAAGGAACAACGCATAGATCTAAAATACTTTTGCGGCATAGCATGTCATAGGAAAAAAGAACTGGAATCTTGGGTTACTAAAGAACCCAACAAAGGAAGTAAAAAGACTTGCAAATACAACTCAACGGTAGAAAGAATCCTAAAACAACAGAAAGGAACTAAAAATCATAAAAGGTACACAAGACATGCTCCAGTAAAATACCACTGTAAAAAATGGGCAAATAATTGCATCGTCAAATGCAAATACCCAATGGCAAAGAAAAGGCTATGTTACCCAGGAAAGCCATTCCTGAACAATAAAGACCTCGATACCACGATGATCATACTAGGAAGTATGGGTTAGATATTCTTTAAGCACTGTTTTGGTTTATTGCACTAACATCACATCAGTTCTCATCCGATTCTTCTTTTAATGTAGTAGCAAGGGTGTAACAACAATAATAATAATATCAGATAGCCAGGCTCTAAAGGTTCTTCTACCAGATCAACTCAAAACCTGTCTGGGACTGCCTGAATACACTACATAAACTGGGATCTACAAATAGCGTAACGTTACGGTTCTAGATCACGAGGGAATTTCAGGTAAGAGGCAGCTTTTTTAGCTAAAAAGGAATAACACAGGTCCAAATCCTTTTGCGACATAAGTACAAGCCATAGTAAAAAAGAACTGAAATCTTGGAATACAACAAATATTGGGAAATTATATCAGACAAGAGGCAAGCATTACATTAAAAAATGGGACTACTAACCGATGAACATGTCGGCTATGTCTATAAGGGTCAGAGACAACAGAACAAACCCTTTGCAACTGTCCTGCGATAGCTGGGAAAAGCCTATAGTACCTACACAGACCTACCTATACAGACCTAGATACTATACCATTGAGAAGAATTCATTACGTAAATCTTTCAGGTAAACCATTAGGAGGGATTGATTTATAATTTTTATATAGCGTGGTTGAGATGAAAAATTAGTGTCGCGAGCGAGACTCGAACCCACGACCTCCGGCTCAATACGCCGCCGCTCTAACCATATCGTGACTTCGATCCCCCGGGACACCAACTCATCGTCTCAGCCTACGATATTTTTCAAGTCTTTCACTTTTTGGCAAATATTCAAATTTCGGGTAATCGGATTGGATTCTCGGCGAACATGCCCACGGGGAGCTGTTAGCGAAGTGCAAGTACTTCAGTAATTGTTATATTGGAGTTAAAAATTGGGTTCGAATCCCGCTCGTGGCACTAATTTTTCATCTCAACCACTCTTTACATAACAATCATAAAAATTTAAATCATTACTTTCGTTAACTAGGACCAACTAAAAGAAAATTAGGCGAGATTTGTCACAACAGTTTAAGTGTTGGAGGGTGAAATCCGATAGGGGAGAAGTTCGATAATTAATTTTGAAAACATCACCCATGCAAAGTGGTAAGAGAAATAATAGGTAGAAATCATGTTTTCTTGAGCAATCACCGCCATTTGTGTACGGTTTTATGGCTTTTATGAGGTGGATGAATGATAAAAGGGTGTAATGATTTATTTATTTACCGAAACCATTTTCCTACAGTAAAAAATTCATTGACATATAAAAATATGTATTGAATTCGGTGAAGTTGATAATTTAATTTCGACTGATTTAAATCAATAGTCGTTTTATATTTGTAAACGTGTCTTTGGGACTTCACGTCACGTTTCCTTCAGAAAATGGTTACAGCGTTAACAATGAAAGACATGGCGGATTATGGAATGACAAGTTGTGGATTTGTTAAGGGGTTTGATGATGATGGTAAATGAATAAACTGACCAGAGAAAAAGCATACGGGATGTGCAATTAGCCTAATAAAAAGTTTCCTACAGTGTCGTTCTGTACAACTAGCATGCAGACCAGTTCGGAAAAAAAAAAATTTTCCGTTCAATCATTCCTTAAATCCCGACGTACTTGAAGAGTATTTTTATATGGATAAGCCATTTTCGTTCAACGTATGCTGTTAATGACGGCCGGGCTAATAAGAAATAATACTGAAAATGTCACCACATACCTTGATTCATTGTTGTCGAACAAGAGAGTCCCTTTCAAGTCGATGTAGTCTTTGCCGGCTTTGGCCGTTCCGTCTTCTGTGTAGTATGGGACTTTGACTCTGCCTCTGGCTCCCGTTTTTCTCTCAACGACAATTTCGTAGACCCCGACCGATTCAGAAACTTCGACACTTGCTTCTGGGAAACCGAAAACACCACTGTGGTCGTCGTCTAATATGTTTATTTTCGTGACAGACGGCTCGCCGAGTTTGAAGGTGGTGTTGAGGCCGTTCGCTTTGGCTCCTTGAACCCGGACGTTGGAGAGACGGACGAAAAAGTGTTCGTCCTCCTCGAACACGTCGTCGTCGATGATTTTGATCTTGAAAAGTTGCTCCTTCTGGCCGGGTTTGAAAATGAGAGTACCGGACACGGCCATGTAGTCGGAACCGGCTTGGGCCGAACCGTCTTCGGACTGATAGTCGACCATGAGCGGTACCGTCAACGGAGGACCGTCGAGTACTATCTTCACGACGAACGTGCCGATGTTTTCCAGTACAGTGTGCTCTTCTTTTTCGAATCTGACGTAGGTGTTGTCGTCTTTGACTTCGGCGATGCTGATCTTCTCTTCGACGGGTGTCGGCTCTTTCACCCCCCTTTGGGAAATGCTCCCTCCGGTGATGCTCCGAGTCGCTTGAATCCTGTAAAAGGCCCTGCTTTTCGGCCCGGACTGTTCCATTTTTTCTTTGGCCAAAGTTTTCAATTCCGCCATGGACTTGTCAGGGAACTCCTTCCTCAAATCCTTGAGCAAGGTGGCGGACTGCTGTCGGGCGTTCTCGAGCATCTCTTCGAAATCGTCGTAGTCGGACTTAGATAGCTCCATGTCGACACTTTCCACCGCCCCGACGGCGCTGTGGCTTTTGAACCGTCTGATCAACTTCAACGGGATCTTGTGTATGGGTATCTTCTTGTCGGCTATAAACGCGGTGAGGACGGTGAGAGGGAAGAAGATGAAAGTGAGAAGACCTTCCCACACATCGACCACCCCTTTAGAAGACACGGCGAGGATCACGTAAAGCCAGATGTAGGCGAATATGGACCAAGTCGCAGTGACGAAAAACACGCTCAAGTGTTTTATAGTTCTGGATTCACCGTTTGGTATGACGGAAACACATATGGCTATGATGACGAAGAGATTGTAAGCAGCGGAACCGACAATCGTGCCCGGGCCCAGGTCCCCCGCTTGAAAATTCTTCGCCCAGATTTCGATGACAGACAACATGATCTCCGGTGCAGAAGAGCCGAGTGCCATAAGCGTGAGATTCGCTACCGTCTCGTTCCACACACGAACCAGCATAGTTTTTCTTTCACCTTTAGATTTGATACTCACTTTTTTCTCTTGAGACGTTATCACTTCGATAGCCGACATGAACCTGTCAGAAATGATAGACACACCGAGGAAAAGGTACATAAGAGCGAAAAAGTAAACACTTCCACGGAAGATCCTGTCGCTGGTCGTGAGATTGGTAGTCGGCTCCCACAACGGTACGATGAGACCCTCCTGGCACTGGCCGGTCTCGTTTGAATCCACATCGGAGGCGGTGACGGTTGCCGCTCCTGCGGCGAATGACAATACGACGAACCACATCCTTCCCAAGCCACGACTACACTCGCATGTTCATCAGACGGTGGCCGGCCCGACACTAAACCACTCTTGCACCGCCATCCCCACCACATCCCCATCGTCGATATTCTTTCTTCTATCAAATGTATTATTGTCACCTCGTCCTCCCTGTCCTCATCCTCTCCAACAATTAATTATTTAACTATTACTTCGTATATATCCACACTTAATCCGGTAACGAAATAATAAACAAGAAAAATCTTTGTGAAAAAAATTCACACCCGCGCAACTTCTCTTCTGGCCGATCCTATTCGATTACTCTTAAGGTTGGCAATTTCTCCTGACAAATTCAAGAAAAAGGTTTCAAAAGGCAGGATTTCTCTACCTAAACATTAATTAAATCGTACATGCACGACTGAACTATCGCATTTTAACAACAAAAAATTGACACGAACGGTGTATCCGCCGTGAAATTGATATAATAGAAAATTATATTTCCGTAATGACACTAATGTCTAGGGAATCGTAAATTGTATGACCTTTCTATATTTATGCACTTGGCTATGCCACCAGTTTGGACGTTTACCAATCGAGTTGGATTATGGCCATTCTAGCAGGGGAAAAAACACAAAAACCGCCCAATCTTACATAGCGACCATAATGAAATTATCTAAAATATTTCATCTAGTTGGGGGAAAAAATAAGTTAAACGTTTTAGTGTGCATTATTAATTAGAACGCTGGCAGTGGTCTAAAAGACGAGGAAAACTACGATAAATAATATTCGTGACTGTGGAACTGGAAGCATCGACTGGTTTATTAAATATTTCATCGAAATTAGGCAACAAAGATGGTAAACAAGTTTATTGTCTTTATGAATTGAATATTACAAGAGTTGAGAAGCATTAAATACAGTCCTAACCCATTATTCACTTTCGAAATGAAAGGGATTGGACTAGGGGATTATGAAGGCCTCTGTATCTTGTTGCGGTTTTGAGAGAAAAATTGGGACTTGAAGGACTGTGTGGATAATAAGATAATAAGTTTAGATAAAATTAGGGAGCTTAAGCAATAGTTTGAAGGATTTTTTTCTCCGTAATGGGTATTCTACCAGATCCTTTTTGCCGTTTTTGCGAAATAAAAGAAGAAACGGCAAGGCACTACCTCGCAGAGTGTGATAGGTATGCTAGGTCTAGATTTGAAATCTTTGAAGGAGCGGACATCACCAAATCACTCCCAGAGATAAAATGGTCCAAAATCTTGGGGTTTGTGAACAAGTCCAAGAGATTTATGCAGGACACGTGAGCCGACCAAGTCCCGGACCTNTATATATAAACCTACCTCCGTTGGGAAATGTTTTTAAGGAGAAGCGAGGAAAAGATCATTTAGGCTCCAGAAACAATCAAATTGGATGGGAACACTTCGGGCCCACAACAATAATTAATAAAGTCAGACATAAATTCTTAGAGAAGGAGACTGACAACATCGAATCTCCTCATCAGATGACTCTCCTTGGCCCAAGGTTCTCTACATCAGTAGAATGTCCTGGTCAGATGATCCTCCTTGGCTCAGGACTGTCTAAATCAGTAGTATGTTCTCGTCAGATGACTTTCCTTGCTTTAGGACTCTGTACATCAGTCCATTCTCTTTGTTCTAGAACTCTAGAACTTTGAACTAGAAATGATGAGGACATCAGTCGACCTTCCTTGCCTCAGGACTCTCTACATTGGTGATTTTCCTTGCCTCGGGACACTCCTCGTCAATCGACTCTACTTGCCTTGTGACTTGACTCGTCTCTGCCCTTCTCTCGGGACTTCACTCTCCTTGGCCTCAACTCTTCTACTCTTCGGATCAGGATTCCATTCGTCAGTGGATCTACTTGTGTCTCTTCACTTGACTGCCCCTTCATGTCGATTTTCCAATCCAACCTTTTTGTGTATGAACAACACAAAGGTGGAGGGATGGAAAAGCAAATTCTTGAGGTCGGGTGATCAAAGCCTTTCTTGCGAGGGTCAGTCATGGACCCCTAGCCTAGTGCACAATTGTCCTCAAGTGTACAAGCGTGAGCCCTATCCGCGATGCACGAGGACTTTTCCTTAATGAATAACTCCCCGTCTTTTTTTTATTTGTTGAAGCTATTTGGTCGCCGCAGTTTTCTCTTCTAACACAAACCCTATCCAAGCAAACTCGATTTCCAAGAACACCTTGGGTTTATTAAAGACTCATGCCAAAAGGCGTAGGACAAGACTAAATATGGAAAAATGTACACTGTACATAAATAACAAGGAGCTATCAACAAGTCGAATAGTTAGGGCTATACCTAGAATACGGACTGTCGTAAAATCCCCAATCAAGACATAATAGAAAATAACTTAACCGAAGGGTTGGTCAACTGTGAAGACTTAAGACCGAAATCTGTTTTGACCATCAAATGTCAACTAGACTTGCTGTGACCACTTTCGTCATACAGAATGGAACTGTGGGCTTCTGCCAAGCAATACAATATCCATCGCATCCAATCTTTCCAATCAAAAGTTGTGACTGGAAGAATATAAGGCCATATTTCTAATGCGTATTTTTATATGTTTAAGCTATAAATAAATTTATTTTAAAATTATACTGGAAAATAACGTTATATATTTTTTTTTTATTTCAGCCTTGCATTTTCAGTGACGATATTTTGTAAAGAAGATCGCACTCATAATAATAATAATGGTGAGAAGATGCAAATTTATCGGAGAACTTAGTCGTGCAACAACACCAACATTACATCGGCATACGATCACTTCACCGCGGGTTTGCTAAATTACTCAAACGCATGTCGGCATAACGCCATCTTCAGTGAGGAACTAATTGGCCTGGATAAAAAGCTTAACAGGTTGTGATAAAGAAAAAAAAATAGTGATAAAGCAAAAGCTAGACATTCGTTTTTAGACATATTCGTCAAACTATTTCTGAACATTAAAACGTTTAGATTGTACGCAGTTTGAAAATACATCCATTGACGTGGCAAATAATTATCTTGTTTTTTCAAAGAAGTTATCAACTCCCTACTTCATAATTTCGCTAAATGATCTTATTTACAGTTATTATTTTTGTTCAATTTTACAATGTTAACTCATGGTCAGGTGATATGAAAGACGGGAATTTCATATTTAGTGTAGTTCAAAAACCAAATATACATTGGAACCATTGAATGAGCAAAATAGAATGGTATAATAGAAAAATGAAATATTACATTTTTAACCATTATGATTTAAGAAATAACTGGTTCAACCAAATCAAATCTTCACCCCTTCTTCCACTCAAAAAATACAAATTCAAGAAAAAACACAATTTGTACGTCTAGCGGGGTCTCTCAAAGTTTCCTAGGGAACTCTGATGGCAATAGCCCGCATACCTGATGGAACGTCCATCATCAATAAGAGCGCAACATCCTCAACAGTAACTGACATTTTTACGTTTAAAAATTGGGGGCGTCGGTTGCCGCAACGGTTTAAGCGTGAACACTGCGCTCATCATTGTTCAGTTCTTCGGGGCGTTGTGTTGTCGGTTTTTATTATCCTTAGCTTAGCGCTCATCATTGTAAGGTAAAGGTCCCGGGTTCGAATGCAGGGCTGCTGGATTCGAACCCGACATACTTACAAATGAGCTTTTTTCAAAAACACCGTCACTCTGAGGGATTATATGACCTCTGCTGTTGCGAAGCCTCGTAAAAAAAAGAAAAAAAATTGTATTGTACGGTGTTATAATTCTATTGGTAGAATTGTATCTGCTTCTTGTACCCATCAATTTTTTTTTTTTTTTTTTTTTTTTTTAGTGTTGAATCTATGTTTCCAGGGAATTTAATAGACAGGGTGTCACGATACTCGCTTCACACCTTCAGAGTGACAAAAAAAAGTGATTATAAACCATGGTTCGATTCTCAACCCTTTTGCAGATATTTAACCTTTTATGTTTTTTTCAACTATCTACAGTTTTCGTCATAAATTTACTCGTATCTCCTAAACTGTTTATTTTTGGAGAAATTTGGAGAAATCCAAAAGAAGCATTGAAAAGAAGGTTAAATTTCCTATAAGATGGCACCTTTCTAGCACTTAAAGCTAAATTTAAAATTGTAAAAAAAAATTTGCAACTTCGTTGGAAAAATTCACGGTAGAGCTTGGCAATGTTTATAACGACTTCTTTGTTTAATAAACTTTCTAGCAGTACACCATTCTCTTTAATTATATCGAACCAAAACACAGAAATTTTATGCTAAATGGGAAAAAGTTGTGACGATGTGAAAAATAGGCCTGTGGTTAATCTGGTAATTCAACTTTTTGTCCTGGGCACAATTTATTTCTCAACTTTATCTTAATAAAAAAGTACAAAAGAAAACAAAACTAGAAAAAATAGAAGCGATAAACATAGTGAACATCCCAATTACAGTGAATTTTTTTTTGTCTACTTTTTTATTAGGAATTTTTTTAGTGGTTATTTTGTTCAATTTTTCTGCTTTAGTTGTCCATGTTTATTGCCTCTTTTTTATGGGTTTTTGTTTCATTTTTGTGCATTTTTTATAAAATTAAAGTTGGGAAATAAATTGTGTCCAGGCCAAAAAGTTGAAACCGCATTCCGTTTTTTCACCTAGTCACTACTTTTTTCCCGTTAGCATAAAATTTATACATTTTGGTGCAATGTAATTAAAGAATAGGGTATATCACTACAAAGCTCATTAAATGAAGAAGTTTTTATGAAATTTACTAAGCTCTACTGAGAATTTTTCCAATTGCAAATTCAGTTGTTTTTTTAAGATTTTAATTTTTGTAAGATTTAGTGTATGTTTTTTCGCAAATATTGTATATAAAGTTCGTGAAGAGTGCCTTCTCAAAAGAAATTTAACGCTTTCTTTTTTATTTCCCCAAAAATGAACAGATCAGGCGTTATGAGTAGAATTATGACGAAAACTGTAGATAGTTGAAAAATACATAAAATGTTGATTATCTTGGAAAGGGTTGAGAATTGGACCATGCTTCACATGAAATTTTTTGTCTTTCTGGAGGAATGAAATTCTCTAGCAAAATTTGTGACGCGAGTAGCCTGACACCCTGTATTATACACATAAGTATGTAACTGTCATAAAATGTAAATATTCTTTTTTATTGCAAATTATGTGATTAAATTATAACTTGTAAATATTTAATCAATTTGATCATTAGATCACTTATTGAAATTTATGATATGTGAAATCACTATTTTGCTACATCTAATAGAAGAATCATTAATGTACAGATAGAGGATTTTGGAGGCAAGGAATAAAAATTTGACCACTTGATTTCTGCCGATTATATCAGAATAAAACCATTTCAAGACATAACACCAAGACCATAAATTCCATAATAAGAAAGTTTGTAATCCATCCCTAAGTTTGTAGTCGGTATATCATGATCAACCAGGATGAAAAATTTAAAAAATGTATATATGAGAATCTACTTGTTTAAGCAAAGGACTGAATTCCTTTTATTCCTAAACTGAATTTAGGAATAAAAGGAAAAGTGCTTAGATCAAATGAGTTGTTATTAATCTGTCAATATTGTAGCTAATGCGTAGTTATAATATTTTAGTACAAGAGATAGTTTATCAGGGTTACGACTTTTTTTATATATTTAACTGTGGTTAGCTGAACGATAAATCTTCAGCTTAAAATGGTATATTGACCACATTATCACCTTGCCTTGCCCTTGAAGTTCAAACTTGAATATGGTGATGATAACAAAATATAAATAAAAATAAACAATGTGAAAAACAAGATATTGTCAACTGCGAGAGTTCAATTTAAAACTGGTTGAATAAAAACAAAAAATTCTCCAAATAGTCAGTATTATTTGGTTTATATACAAATTAATAAATTTACAAATTGAATTTGTTCAATTCATTTTAAACGGCTGTTCGATTACATATTGCGCTTCCTTTTTATGAATTTCTCCGATGCCAACTGCAGGGGCTGCATATGGTGGTCTGCCGACAAATTTCAACTGCAAAAAAATGTTTAATAGAAGTGTTAAAATAAATAGTATCAATAATACTTGCCCTTTTGCCAATAAGATTCTCAAATCTTGGTTTCATAAATGTCCAAGCCCCCATATTTTGAGGCTCTTCTTGAGCCCACACATATTCTGGAAGAAGCGGTTACATTCATTTAGGAATTATTCAATTAAAATTCAATATGGTTTTGCAAATAATTTGTATTTTTACTGTACAGGTGCCAACTACTTGCATCACAAACTTTGCCAGAGAATTTCACTCCTCCACAGTGACAAAATAGTTCCCCTGTACAATGGTCTGATTCTCAACCCTTTGGATATTCAACATTTTATGTGTTTTTTTCCAAATATCTACAGTTTTTGTCATAAATCTGCTTGTAGCTCCTGAACTGTACATTTTTGGGGCAATCCAAGAGAAACAAAGAAAAGAGTGTTAAATTTCTTTAAGAAGGCACCCACCCTTCTAGAACTTTCAATTTAATTTTTGACAAAAAAATGCTAAACCTTTCAAAAATTGCAAAATTTAGAACTTTAAAAAACTAAATTTAATTTAGTAATTTTAATAATTTAATTAAAAAATTTAATATTTAATTAGTTAATTTAATTTTAAACTCATTGGAAGAGGTCCACGGTAGCCAAGTGATTATCATCAAAGACTCTTGACTCATAGACCCACGGTCGTGTGTTCGCTTCCCGCTGTCGGTAAAAAATAAGGCTTTAAAAAAAAAATAGTGTCATTAGTGGACAACTAAATTACGTTTAATTTTCCTTTTTTGTGCTTTTTTATTCACTTAAAGTTTTTTATTGGGGGGGGGGGTTGTACATTTGTACATCTAGTTATTCCTGTTCATGGGTGATTAAAGTTGGGTAATAAATTTTGTCCAGTACAAAAAGTTGATATACCAGATAAACTAAATGGTGTTCCGTTTCCTCTTTTTCACAGACACCATTTTTTCTTCCCATTTAGCATACAATTTCTGCATTTTAGTTTGATGTAATTAAATAAAAGGGCATACCACTACAAAGCTTATTAAATGAAGATATTGTTTATGAAATTTTCCAAGCTCTACAGTTAATTTTTCAATGAGGTTACAAATTTTAAATTTACCAGTCTGAAAGATTTAGCATGTTTGTTTAAGAAAAATTAAATTTAAAGTTCTAGAAGAGTGCCTTCTCAAAGACAATTTAACCCTCTTTTCGACACTTTTTTTGGATTTTCCCAAAATTGAATTGTTCACAAACTACAAGTAAATTTATAACAAAAACCATAGATAGTTGAGAGAAAAAAAAGCAAATGAAATATTGAATATATGCAAAAGGGTTGAGAATCGGACCATTGTACAGGGGAACGTGTTTCTCAGTCTGAAGGAGTGAAATTCTCTGGCAAAGTTTGTGAAGTGAGTAGCATGACACCCTGTATAATCACGTTTTTTTTTACAACTAATGGATAAATTAGAAAGAGAGGTACCTTTCACGTTTGAGAATTTAGCCAATTCATCTCGTAGTTGTACAACTGGAAATGGCACCAATTGTTCTACTCTTATAATTGCTGTATCTGTAATATTGTTCTTCTCTTTATAATCGTTCAACGGGAAATAATGTTTTCCAGAAACTAGTAAAATTTTGTGAATTTTTTTCTCGTCGGTAACCGTTCGGTCTCCTACAAAAGAAAAATGTATGTAGACTATGTACTTTATAAATAATTGAAAAAACAAGTACTACTAACATATGATTCATTATGACTGCATATATTTATTGTGCAATATGTTTCGCATTAAATAATTATTTTACTTTTTTATTAGGACTATTCAATAATAAAATATTTGTTTTATCACTCCAAGATAGTGCATATTGCCTTCTCTTGTTAAAACAAAACTATCAGTATTATAAAAAATTTCCACTGGTTGGTAAAGTGTGTTGTGTGTATTATGGCATTAAAAACAGTTGTGATGTAAACTATTGCTTTTTTAATTAGGTTTTTAATCATTTTGGAAGTTAGGAGGTCATGACCTGGGGATTTTTAAACTGGGAGGCACAAAATTTGGAATTATCATCAAAGGGAATATGATTGGGTGGTAGTAAGAGAGAAAGAGGAAATCTAAAAAAGAAAATTTAAAAAAAAATAAACCCACACATCAAACTTCACAAAATAACACTTGTGAACCTAACAGACACCCCATTCAACAAATACGAACAGAATTACTACAAAGATTTTCTAGGAGGGAGGATTGTGTTGACTACTCATAACCCCTGCGAAGATATTGCATAATAAAATGTTTTATCATGTCACACACACACACACACAAAATAAATAAACAAACACAATAATGAAAAACACATGACCCCATTCAGGACAGTGATTTGTGATATTAATTCTTCCTCAATTGATGTACTGAGAGTGTGATATTGCCCAAATTAAGAAAAAAATAGCAGAGAAGACCACGAATACAATCGGAAAATTACTAAGGTGGAGCCTAGATGATCAATTATATTGCACAATATTATGAATTGTGCAATATTTCCTACTGTTTAGGCGTTAGTATTGAAGTTTGCTCAGTGATTGAACAAAATTTTGAATGAGATTAACTTTTATTGCACCATATGTTTTCACTGCAGTGTTTAGGGTTAATATTGTGCAATATTTCTTAGTCTATGTCTAGCATTCATATGAACTGGGATCAAGATGTCATACAATAGTAGTGCACAATAAAAGAAATTGTGCAATGTTATTGTAGGTCTAGGGTCCACCTAAGACAAGATAGTGACAAAACCTAAAATATTGGGTTGTCCGGAAAATAATGCAGGATTTTGGTATTAAACAAAAAAAAAGAAACTAGTTACTTTAAAGCAATGTTCTTTAATCAAAATAATTTCCCATACTCTCAATACATTTCTCCCAACGTGTTGGTAACTTATTAATTCCGTCTGAGTAGAATTCAGAATTTTTAGAATTGATAAAGTCAATAAATGCATTTTCCAGTTCCGTTTGATTTTTGAATATTATGTGTTGTAAGTAGTGGTCCAGGTGTCTAAAAAAATGGTAGTCAGTAGGCGAGAGGTCCGGAGAGTAGGGTGGGTGAGGCAAAGTTTCATAGCCAAGCTCCAATAATTTTTGTGACGTTACACGTGACACATGTGGTCGAGCGTTGTCATGCAACAAAATGGGCCCTTTCCGATTGACCAAAGAGGGCTTCATTACTGCCAATTTCTGATGCATGGTATTAATTTGGTTACAGTATGATTCAGCATTGATGGTTTCGCCAGGATTTAAGAAGCTGTAGTGTATTAAACCAAATGAAGCCCACCATACCGTAACCATTACCTTTTTTTGATGAGTTGGGGGCTTTGGAGCTTCTCCTTTGTCGAGCCACTGTCCAGAACGTCTAGTGTTATCGTAGAGAATCCACTTTTCGTCACATGTAACAATTCTGGCCAGAAATGGGTCATTTTTGTTTCGACAAAGAAGTGATGCACAAACATCAAAGCGCTGATTTTTTGGCGATCGTTTAATGAGTGTGGAACCCAATTTTCGAGTTTTTTCACTTTTCCAATCGCCTTGAGGTGGTCAGCGACGGTCGTTTTACTGACTTTGAGTTGCTCTGCAAGTTCTCGAACAGTTGTTTTGGGGTTTTCTTCCACCACTGATCGCAGAACATCATCATTAAGAGAGGAAGGCCTTCCACGACCTTCTTCATCTTCAAGGCTGAAATCTCCCTCCCGAAATTTTTTAAACCACCTTTGCACAGTGCACTCATTAACACAACCCTCGCCCCAGACTTGGTTAATGTTTCTAGCCGTTTGGGCTCCGCTTCGGCCGAGTTTAAACTCGTAAAAGAAAATCGTACGAAATTCTCGCTTTGACATTATAAGGATGACTGAATTATTTCCAAGTAGCGGAATGCTACAGAGGTAAACAAACAATATCATTTGGAAGAGGATTAATAAGTGTTGACATTCATACAAATGAGTAATCCTGTAAACGTAAACAGAATATTTTATATAGATTTTTTTTAATGAAAACTTAAAATCCTGCATTATTTTCCGGACAACCCAATAGAACAACTGAATACTAAAAAAACTAAAATAGAACAACTCCACAAAATGCAAATGCGGAGACATATAAATTGAACAGACAGGGCAAAATAAATATAATAGGCAGATGTAAAGAACATACAATTGTTTAAGGACAATCAAACTACTCACCTCACAAAAAACTATCACAAACCCCTCAAGAATACTAGTACTACATGAATCATCACGATACAAAAAAAATGTTCACATATAAATTTCACACTATTCAAAGCACTATACCAATTAAAAAGGGGCAAAGATCACAAAGAATGATGAAAACCAGACATAATCCACCAAAGTACCAACACATACTGGACTTAACAAAATCGCACAGACCACTGAAGATGGTGAAATACTGAAAGCACAAAGGATAGGCAGATTAAGATGATCATTCAAATTACAAGTTTTTACATCCCATCAACCACAGAAGAAATCTCACAATAAAAAGAGTGGTTTTGTAAATAAAACTGTCTTACCTTATTTTGTTTCTCTTAATGAAAAGAATGTTCACAAAAGCAAAAATCTATTAATTGTACAAAATATTTGCCTTGATTACAACAAAACTTAATATAGTTTTCACGGTTTTATTAAATTTTCATTATCTTAATAGAAGCTATGATATTAAGAATTAAAAATATCACCTATAACCGGAATAAAAGAAGTGTTGGGTCCCATTTCATGAAGAGATGAAGAAGCCTCGGGAGCTCGAATTATTATTTTGGGCCCGACGACAATTAAAGGTTTCCTAAAGTTTCGGATCATCTGTTTAAAAAAAGGTCCACATAATTTTCACATCCTAATTGTGTTTAAAATTTGTTTTTATAATAGTACCTGGCGCCGGAGCAAATGGAAATACTGAGCTGCTGTTGTTGGATAAACAACATGTATATTCACACTGTCGCCATCAGGTTTTGTTTCATCTGAATTTGACAACTGCAAAAATCTTTCCATTCTACAAGAGCTGTGTTCTGGCCCCGCTCCATCGTATCCGTGAGGTAATGACAATACAATTCCACTTTGAGTTAACCACTTATCTAAAAATTAAATTTCTGTCAACAGATAAACTAAAAGATGTATCAAGTAGTCGATTTTATGTTTGTACCTTCTCCTGAAGTAATATACGTGTCTATTTGAATTTGAGCACCGTTGAAAAAATCCCCAAATTGAGCCTCCCAAATAACTAAATTTATTGGTGAAATAGAGCTGAATCCATACTCAAAACCTAAGGCTGCTTCTTCGGATAGATGACTGTTTGCAATCTGTTATAAAATTAATAATTGATAATAATAATTAATTTTTAAAAGCAAATAAAAGATAAAGAAAATTATATGAATGTGAAAACAAATAAATGCAATGTGAATCTAAAGTAATAAATTCACTAATTTCGTGGTCCGCTTGACCAATTAATATATTACAATTAATTAAGGTTTTTAGTTTAGATAAAAATTCGAATCCCGCTCGTGCCATTGACTTTTTTATCTCAACTAAAAACCTTAATTAATTCTAAAGTAATAACTTGTAAAATTAGGTGATTATTTAGATAAAACAATTTTTTTAACTGTAGGTTATACACTATATCGAAAACAGTGAAAATTTGTGTAATACTTGTTTAAAACACTAGACTGACATTCCAGCTAATAAAACTAAGTAAATAAATTATTAACAGTTTGGTCATCAGTGATCATCCACCTCTACTTAGCCTCATTGATTTAACAGCTTCAGCGATTTATCTCAAAAAATACAACCTTTTAATTGTTAGATAAGATAAAGACATGAATATGAGGACTAAAACCCAAAATGGAATATTGGCTATACACTGAAGTAATAAGACCTAAGGGATTGCTAATGTATATTGGTAACTTCAAATAGGGAGCAGATATAGGAGACCCTACTGAAAGTATTCAAAGCATTCCTCTGCTCAAGACTTCTGTGGCCTATTCCACAGTCCAAAAAACTGTGTTAGGGGCTTTGAGATGTATTGGGTGCATTTAGAACCAGCCCCTTGACCAGCTTCTCCTGCAAGTTGGGTTTCTGTCACCCCTTGACAGGCATGATCCTGTAAAACAAGCATAGCCAGATATACAAGAGACTTCGAACTTGGACATAACCCCTGGACATTCACTTTGGCGAAGCCTTAAGGATGGCACTTGAGCTGGGAAAATGGCTCTGGGTCCTCCTAGTTATACTTGTACTCATCGAGGTCGTGACCTCTGCCACACCCCTACCGACCTGCGATCCTAGAACTCATATCGGGGTTCACCAGTTTTTGTCTCGTATTCACGGATGAGTCAGGAACCAGCGAGGGTATGACCTGCGCCATGTATAGCGAAGGCTTGCCCACTTCGTGATCATGGTGATTCGAGATGAAGGAGGCTCTACCTATCTCATCTGTACCAACTCCCGAGGGCGGTTTTAGCTATTTGTGACAAAATCTTGGTAGATCCTCCCATCATCATGATGTATTAGTCGGAGTGTGTATTATACTGCATCCTTTATGAGCTAATGAATCCCTCCAACCCTCTCATCATACTCTTATTAGAGAGATATGCTTAGTTGGAGCACCTCAGAAAAAATGGTGCTAGTCATCTGGATACCTGGACACATTGGGCTGGAGGGCGACAAATGTAAAAGATTATGTGGCAAAAACTGCAAGTCTTGTCTTCCAGACGGAGCCCTTGCGATCCACCCCAGTAATGCTGTAAAAGCAGGAAAGATTGCAATTAAAAGAATGTTGGCAGCATCAATGGGCCAGATTGTCCAAGAAGCTCTTGTATGTCAAGAGCACGACTGAGCAATTGCCCACCAATTAAAACACAAGGAAGGGATTGTGCTTACCCATTTGAGAATAGGCCGTAATGGATTGAGTTTTGAGGCAAACCCCATGCAGGTGTCCTACTTGTAAAGAAAGGAAGGTTGCTCACTTTGTGTCACACTTGGTCAAATAGGGCGACACTTGGCCCCTTGCAGAGAGTGAGTAGGAATCACACCCAGCATAAAGACAGTGAAAAACCCAGATTACAAAGGAGAAATCGAATACAATTATATGGTAAAATACAGCACCAAAACCAGTGAAGGAACCGGGTTATATTTTTTGTAAACCAAAAAAACATGATCAAATTTGTTCGGGAAGTAGGCCTCCATTTTTCAAACTTAAATTTACTTGCCACAGAAAATCTTAAAAAAGATAGTGACAAAAAACCTTATACAATCAAACAGCCAAACAGTACTAAAAACAGTAAAAAGGTCACATTTAGGCCAAGAAGTCAATGTCAAGATCAAACCTAGGCTCCTCCATCTTAGAAAGTGATTAGGTTAGGGTTAGGGCTTATGGATAGGTTACATATGAATAATTCAATCATTTTCTATGAAGCAGAGAAAATATTGAAGTACGAAGAAAATACCTATTTTATCAGTTTGACAACAAAAATTGCTTAATACAGCAAAATTCTGGAAATTGAACCTTATTATTAAAGCTAGTGGGAAATGTTTACCTCCAAATGACCATGTTGTTCAGGGCTAATATTGTTCAAAGGAACATAGACATCGTCAGTTTCATGATTTACGAATATGGCATGTCTATGAGCGAATGTCCCTCTGCCGACATCTTGTCCACAAATTCTCACATTAAAACCTAAAATAAATTTTAAAAAATAATGCAACTGTAAAAAAAATTAATAAAAAGAGTGATAAATTATTACAATTAAGATGAAATTTCCATGTAATACGTAAATTACAATAAATTTCCCACATCAGTTTCTAAATAAAGAATGATAATATTGATCAAATATATGGACAAAATGTTCTTCTTAAAAATGAAAGGATTTACAAAATAAAACACAGTGAAATCACAATACACACTTCTTTTTTTTATTTCAAGATAACCAAATTACGTTGATTTTTTTTCTTTTTTGAGATACCTATAACCTGTATAGGTACAGTAAACTGTGAAGAGATAAAAATTAAAGCTATGACGATTAGAAGTGAACAAAAATTAAAAAGTAGTACACTTAGGAAAACACTAAAAACAAATAACTTATCCTAAATATACCAGTCAGTCACTTAACATTTTTTTCAAATTGTTGAATGTTTGTTAGCTTACCTTGGTATAAAAGAGAGCCTATAGCTAATGCCTCACAAGTACCCCAGTCTAGTGAATTTCCTGACTGTAATTTAGATAATCGTGACTGTATATGGTTTTTTACCAAGTTAGGATGAAGAGGCTTAAAAAAACATTCAGTTGATCAGTTTTAATATTTGCAGTTGAGTGTAGGATAATATCGCTTACAAATTTTTCAGGAGCTTCGACTGATTTTTCTCCAATAAACCTTAAAAGATCTGTATCTAGCCCTGTGTCCCATGATGTGACTGCATTTGGTGCTAGGCGATAATTGCTCCATAATTCTTGGTTATATACCTACAATATAAAAAATTTAAATGTATGCATAAATGTATGTGTAACAATAAAAAATCACAATATACACTTTTTTTCATTTCAAAATAACCAAATTGCATTGATTTTTTTCTTTGTTTTGTTCTGTTCTATTAAGTTAAAGTTGGGTTTTACAACATATGTTCTTTTTTTGTCTGTGTTTAGTGTAGGTATTTTGTCCTGTTGTTCTACTTTGGTTGTTCATTTTGTTTATTATCTCTTTTTTTTATGTGTTGTTTCATTTTTCTTTCCATTAGGTTAAAGTAGGGTTTTACAACTTATGCATCATTATTCTTCTTCTTGTCTTTTGTCTTTTTTCTATGTGGATATTTTTTCTTATTTTTCTGCTTTGGCTGTTCATTGTGTTTTTCCCTCCTTTTGCCATTTTTCAAATGTCGTGTAATCGGTTTTGATTCTCGACGACAATTGAAATGGCGACGGAGAGCTTTAGTGAAGTGTGCTTCATTTTTTTAAATCATTAATTCACTACTTTCGTGGTCCGCTTGAACTATTAATATCTTTCAATTAATTAAGGTTTTTAGTTGAGATAAAAAAGTCAATGGCACGAGCGGGAAGTTGGTGTCCGAGTGGATCGACGTTACGATAGCTCAAGTGGTAGAGCAGCGACGTATCTAGCTGAAGATCGTGAGTTCGAATCCCGCTCGTGCCATTGACTTTTTATCTCAACTAAAAGCCTACCGGACCACGAAACTAGTGAATTTAATTGTGTTTTTTCTTTCTTTTTCTTAAATGATGCCCAGGACAAAAAATTGAATTACTGGATTAACCCCATTCCCCATTTTTCACACTGTCACCACTTTTTTCCGATTTTGCATAAAATTTCTGCATTTTGGTTCGATACAATTAAAGAAAATGGTATATGGCTAGAAATATTATTACACAAAGTGTTATGAAATTTGCTCTACCAAGAATGTTTGCAATGAGGTTGCAAATTTAGTTTTTTTACTAATTTTAAATTTACCAGTTTTTGAAAGATTTAGTGTTTGTTTTTACCAAAAATTAAATTGAAAGTTCTAAAAGGGTGCCTTCTTATAAGAAATTTAACGCTCCTTTTGATGTTTTTTTTTATTTCAGTAAAAATGAATAGTTCAAGAGCTATGAGTAGATTCATGATGAAAACCATAGATGCTAGAAAATAAAATGTTGAATATCTGCAAAAGTGTTGAGAATCGGACCATATGAACTTTTTTGTCGCATTTGAGGTGTAGAAACACCTGACTAACTTTGTTGTACTAGTAACGAATCACCCTGTATATTAAACGATCATAAACCTACTTAGATCATCTGGACTATAAATACTTCAGTCGGTAAATAAATTTATACCTGTGGAACGAATGAATCAACTCCATGGAAACGTTTATTAAGTTCTTTCGAATAATCATTCTCAATTTTATTAACTTCTTCCTTTGTTGTGACTTTTTTATTAATTAAATAAGCAGCATACATATCAGGAACAGTACTACAATAAAAATTAAAGTAAATTTATTAATATTTGTGTCTAAGATGGTGTCAAACAAGAAAGAGAATATGAAAAAGTACTAAACTATAATACTACCTCTTACTATTAATAACTCTATAGAGAGAAGGATTTGTAAATGTTGGATCATCTACCTCATTATGTCCCCATTTTCTATAGCAGATGAGATCGATAAAAATAGTCTTCCGGAATTTTCGCTGATAATCCATAGCAATCCGTGTTGCCTTTATGACTTCCTGTACAATTTTTTAATTTTTATTTCCCTACTCTGATGTATGAAAACTGAATACATACATTTGGGAAATCTCCGTTTACGTGTAGCACAGGTGCAGATATGATCTTTGCTACATCAGAAGCATACCGCGTCCCCCTTCCACAAGAAGGAGGTGTAGTGAAGCCAACTTGATTGTTAATAATCAAATGTACGGATCCACCAACTTGGAAATGTGGTAGACAACTCATAATCAAACTCTCCTGGCTTACTCCTTGACCCATAAGTGAAGCATCACCATGAACCTAATTAAACATAATTTATTTCGAATTAGGCAAGGTACTGCAATAATAGATCCAAAAGTGCTTTAAACTTTGGTTGAAATATTCCATTTGTTTGTTGTTTTTTTTAAAGACAATCTTTCTGAAATAATTGTGAATAACTAGGTGGAATTACTATTAAAAATTAATACTGAGGCACTTTCTCATTATTCAACTTTTGATGACCAACTTTAAAAATTTCAAAGCAAATCGACTAATAACTATTTAAAATTATCCTGTGAAAATACCATGAACTGGAGTGTCTTGGAAAAATGGTGGCTGTTGTCTGAGTACCAGGTCTAGAGGGTAATGAAAAGGCGGATGAGGCGGTTAAGGCCAGGTCATCCCAATCTCTGGACTTAACCACCGCTTTGCTGTCTGACGCTAAACATGTACTGAAAAAAGTGATTAAAAGAAAGTGGCGATGCCGGTGGGCCAGATGGGCAGAGATAATCACACATATCAAGATCACTGTCGATATAAGGCCCACAGAACAGCCAACTCGTAGAAGGGAGTCATCCTCACCAAGTAAGAATGGGTCATGCGATTTTGACACAGACTCTTACTTTTTATCAAAGCCCGCGTATGTGTCCAGCATTTAGAGAACAGTTGCTTCATGCGTCCTACCTAATTAAAGGGTGCAATTCATTGGCTCTATATAGAGAGCATGTAGGAATGCCACCTGATATGAGGATTGTGCTTGTGCACAGCAGCGAGTATTTGGGTCCCCTGTTCTGCCTTTTGAAGGAAACATACATAATATACATGTATTGGTATGTGTCAACAAGTGTAGGTTGAGGGTAATATACGTACTTTGGTGTGAATGTGTGAGAGGGCCGATGGTGGAATATTAAGTTATTAACCTTCAATTAAGTTATGTATATAATAGATGTAAAGGGTGATGGAGGAATATAGAGTACTTCACCATCCTAACTCAGTGAATGGTATGTAAGTAAGAAAGAATGTATTTAATAATGCGGGTGAGTGTGAATGGATTTAAGTACTGATTGCATTGTGTGCTGAAATGACCTAGCTGTTGACGGCACCCGGAGCCCAACCTTGGCGGCTAGAGGGATAAGACAGAGGGTCTGACCCTGGATTGCAAACACCCAGGGTGGGTGATTCTCAAGGCCTGCCAGTAATTTATTGTAAACTACAAAAGTTGGAATTGCCAGTGGACTGCAAGAAGTGATAGTACATGTGCAGATTTGAGCTTACAGAAATAGTAATCAGTATCCTGTGAAATAAAGAAAAAATTCCAGAATTACACTTTAGTAGTGAATTTGGGGGGAAGCAAGTTGGGCAGAGAATATATTTGCCTATAATATTTTACAATTTGAGAAAATGTTTGTTTCTACCTACTTGTACATTTAAAACTTGATCGCCAAATCTGCCATTGCTTTTTCCATAATCACCTTCTGATTTGAGCTGTTGAAGTGCCCTTGTTTGTCCTAATGACACAGGACAGACTGCCTAAAATATAATTGACACGTTTTAAAACTTATTTTGTTAAAATTGTGAGATTTCTAAGGAGAAGAACCTGTAGTTTAGAAGTTACTTCATTTTGATCCACCTATCCTCACTGGTTCCTTTCAAATTTTGGCATTCCATCTTTGATACTAAAACCCAGTTCCAGTGAGGATAGACAGACCAAAATGATCGGAAACGATCAAACATACTTATTTTATTGTTCAATTTGTACTGAATTGAAGAGAAAAAAAATTATAATAAAAAGATCCATATTGGTCACAAAGAGTGATAACATACAATTTGAAAAAATGGATAAAACATTAAATACATTAATTATACTTTTTAAATAAAGTCTTGGTTGAGATGAAAAAGTTAGTCATGAGCGGGATTCGAACCCACGACCTTAAGGATTAATTAAATGCATTGTACAAACCTCTAAATGAGAAGGCAAATTGGTCATTCTAACATTAATCTCTTTTCCGTTGTACTTCAAAGTGGCAGATGGACCTGAAATATTAAATACAATTTCTTAAAAAGGGTTCATTGCTAAGCATCGCAACTATTAGAAATGATTTATATATCTACAAAATTTAAATTGAAAAGAACAACTTTATTAGATTTTTATAGTATTTCTCTAAATGTTCATTAATTTATCAATCGGCATCTAGCAGCCCAGTAAATCTTGTCATGAGTTTTCTACAGCCCGCATAGTGTATATATATTTAATTGTCAAAATTCTTGTTTTCAATATGGATCCATAGTTTTATTTAATTTATATCATAGTATAAAAATATTTTTCTTTGGTAAATCAATTATTAGCTTAAAAATTTAACCTGTCAGAGCAATACTTACATAAATGGCTTATGACATCTCCATTCAGTGTGTACTCAGGAGGAAATTCAGATTTTCCTCTGACTTTTCTAAACAATATCTCTGGAGGCATACCTAGAAGCCCTGTGATGAAACTTAATCTCCCTCGGTGGTGCGCTGCTACGACTATGTCTGTGACACCGTCTAAAACGAAAATTAAATAAATTAAATTAAATTGAATAAATTGTATCGATATGATAAAGAGTAAAAATAAGAATACCTAAGCTTGCTATGTTAAAGAGCTCTAGAAAAAATGACAGGGCACTTTCTGCCCCTTCGCCACTATATCGTTTCAGTGTCACAAATTTCAACTTGAGAAAATTTTCAAATGTCTGTGACTGTAATAAAACTTTCAAATTTTCTTTTTCATACTCATGATCTATTGTATGCTTGTGAACCACTTCTTCATATTTTTTCTGAAACCATTCTCGCTCATCTAGGTTCTAAATGGAAAAAACGTGTTAGCAGACGTAGAAAATTTACTTATTTTTAAATAATATGATAAAATTATATTTTCTATAAGTATTTTATCTATTTCATTGTCAGTCTCCCCACCACCTGGGATCACTGGACAATAGTCTCCTTTTTTACGATGGGACTTAAAGACCTTATTTAGACCTTAAGGTGGAATTGACCATATATATTATATCAATTATTTCCCTAGGCATTCGTTTTGCCTTTCCCAAGTGGCTGTATCATTTCCAGGCTAAAGCTTTGAAGCCACAAAGGTATGTTTAGATGTCTCTGTTGTTTCATAGCTGTGAAATTTCTAAGTTTTTTGTTTTTTTAATGGTGATAATTAAGCAGACAATGGACAGTATAAAGGCCTATTATTTTACGCCAATTTACGGTGTGAGGGTTTTACCCGCTTCAACTAATTTGTCAGACTGTTTCTTGCCTTCCATCCCCTTGTATCCTGGCATTACAATAAATGGTGTCGTTTCTAAGTCTTAAATGTACCAGCATTGGCTTTACCTCTAAATCAGAGTTACTTGGTTGTGTTTTCCCAGAATATTGAGGTATGTTAGTCCTTTTCAAAATCAATTTTGAAGGTAGTGGCCTCTAGGGTCTACAGTGCTGCTTGACTGTCTGGGAATATGTCCTTTCAGTCCTTTTTTGAATATTTCTTGTGTACAGTTCTACTACATGCATCTCAGCCTGGAAAATTGATTGTGTGGGGCCCAGAGGTTTTGCTAAATCAAATTTTGGGCCACTATTCACTTCCTCCTCCTCCATTCCATTTTGGATCCAACTGTGTACTATAAGGATTGTGATGATGATGAAAATATTACAAAGTGGGAGTTTGGTATTTCAAAAGCACTGCAGCCTTCTAGTTCAATGTATTTGTACTAAGGTGATAATTAAGTTGCCAATGGCCACTATAAAGAACTACATTTTCATAGTCATAACAATTAATTAATGATTAGTTTATGAAGGGGTTAAGAATATCTATAAAAAGTACTATTAGATAAAAACAATCAGGATTTTTGCAATATTCATTTAAAATACGTACAAATTGTGCATTAATACTTGCAAAAGATAAAAAAAATATACAATGTAATAATGTATCATCCTGGTTTGTTGGAGATTTCTTTACAAGCCAGGGTAAATGGAAATGATCAAACTAGGTGTCTCATGATCTCAATGCAACATTTCCAAAAAATTACACTGAATGATGCCGTTTCTAAGTCTTAAATGTACCGGCATTACCTTTAAATTCTTATTTTATTTTTGACTTACATCTAGATGAGTGAATTCAACGCTTATTTTGCCACAATATGTATCCTCTAGCCACTGTACAGCGTCATCAACAGTACCATCCTGTTTATCATTCAATAATCCATCAAATGAATATTTTTCCTTTGAATTTAGACCGTAGCAATTCAAGTTAAGCTCAGGAACTTCCCTGTAAATGTATAAAATATAAACCAAAATTTTCAGATAATATTGTACAACATTGGGAGGGGAAGATCATTTCAGGTCTAAAGTATTCAATTTATTATGTTCAAAGTTAATATTCTGTTATAAAATTTTATTTCATTCTAGTATAATAAATAAATAATAATATATAAGAAAAAGAAAAGGCATTCTTTGGCTGAGAAGCTTTGCATTGTTCTAAACTCATAAAAATAAACATAGAAAGAAAATTGTTAAAAATTTGACAAATAATGTGTTCAGACAAATTAAACCATATTTATTCAAAGACAATGCATTAATAAATCAGTTTTTCCAATGTTGGGCCAATAATTCTGGCCATTGCAATTTCCAAGTATTTGTCATATAAAGTTCATACTCATCAATAGTCATTAGTTTCACTGAAAAAACTACTTACTACTTACAACGTATGTGTCGAAAAATTTGCTGGATTGGTCTGTGCTTTCTTATGCCCGTGTTCCCTATAAGCAGCAACCAGTGGGTATAATTTTGCATTGTCATTTTTAGGGTCAAATATGCATTTGTCTCCTGGAATAAATGAGTTTACTTTAAATGTAAGTCATATTCATGGAAAATGGATACAGCAGTAAGATAATACACCCCTTATGATGTAGCAATTTTTTTAAATAGGTTTCTATAAGAAATAACTATAAACTCAAACCATAAGTAATTCATCACAAAATAATATCAAACTACGATCTGCTTGCTAAAAGCCTCTTATTAGCAAAGTAAACCAAGGTAAGCAGCTGGCGTTTGTAAAAAAAAATTCCTTGTTCAGCCTTCTAGCTTTTGTGACAGTTATTTTCACCGATCAATGTGAATTCAATATTTTTAGTACTGATGGCAATGTTAGAGTGTTGAGGAGAAAAAGTGAGGCTATGATATTAAACAACTTATGCCCCACATTTAAACACATAGGAAGAAGTACCATTGTTTGGGTTCTATGGCTACAACTGGAGTAGGCAACTTAAAGATAATTGAAGGAATAACAGATCAATACATGTATATTGATATTCTAAAAGAAATCTATGACCCAGTGTTATCAAGTTTGGCTCAGGATCAAATTTTACTTTTCAAAAAGATTGACATCCTAAACATAATACTAGAAGCGTCGAAGAATGGTACAACTAATTGACAGAGTTCTGGCCCCCAGTCTGCCAACACCCTGGGGATGTGATTCTAGATTCCTGCCTATAATTAACTGCAAATTCCAAAAGCTGGAATTGCCGGTTAACTGCAAGAAGTGATAGGTTCAACTCTCCACATAGTGCTGATTTGAGCTTATATACATCCAAAATTTAAATTCGAATTTTTCAATTTTAGGTTAGTTTAGTTGTATAATATTGTAGAGGGTGATGAAGAAATATTGAGTACTCCACAACCCTCATTGAATTAATGGTAAATAGAAAATAACATATTTGGGTGTGAATGAGTTTGAATCTAGGAACTGTGTTGGATGCTGAATTGACCTAGCTGTTGACAGCATCCGAAACCCCATCCCGGTGGCTGGGTGGATAAGACCGAGTTCTGGCCACGGACCGCCAACACCCAGATGATGTAATTCTAGATTCCTGCCTGTAATTTATTGCAAATTGCAAAAGCTGGAATTGCCGGTTAACTGGAAAAAGTGAAGGATTCAAATCTGCACATAGTGCAGATTTGAGCATATATAAATCCCAAATCCAAATTTTTCCATGTGTTCTTAACCTCCTTTTCTGGTCATTAATACTGAGTGTATGCCGAATTTTTTACTAGCTTAGGTTTGTTGCATGTAGGATATAACCTTAGACCATTCACGCTAATAAATGCATTCATACAAGACAATCTAAAGAGTTTACCTAGGACTCTGTTCGACTCCTTTGGTTTGTGGCCGTAAACTCCTGTTTTCCACTGGTACTGCCTGAATTGTAAGTGAGGCCGGTGGCCTGCGAAACGTTTCAAAACGTGCTGCCGTGTCGGACGTGTCGCCCCTATCCTCAGCCAGTTGAAAACGGACGGATTCATCTTTATTATCGCGGGCTCCGAAGCACAAAGCATTTCTAAAGCCTAAGAGTGAAGAGTTGAATTTTGAAGGGAGCACACACTCACAAAAAATGACCTCCTTATCACATATGTGTTATCTTATATTATTGATATTAGATAATATAAAATGTTCTGATTAACAGTATGGAAACGTGCCTTTTTTATACTTTTTTTACCTTTTGGGTTGTTTCGAGATCAATTACACTTCAAAATATTAATCATAGGTATGCGAAACCGTCTTTGATAAAAATTAATTATAAGGAATCAGCTTTTGGGCCGTTCACTTTCCGTCGATTGAATTGGATTTTACACCGTGTACGTTTTATTCAATCACCTAACAAATGCCAAGTCGTAAAATCTGTAATGAGTTATGGCCTGTCAAATTCTCGATTGTCTACATGTCTGCAATCAGTTAAAAAAAAGCTCGTTATCTGTGTATTCACTTCCACTGTTATCTGATTTGGTGCCAAGGTCTTAAGCTGGCCCGCTGTAGATGTAGAAGTGCAGAAGCCTGCTGAAAGGTGGGCCGTTATGCAGTCTAACACCGGGCGGAGTTCACTATTTTATTCTATTTGGCTATTTTTAAACGACGCCCACAAACAATTGGCTCTTCGCCTTCGCCTCATTCCGACATATCAAATAATGACCTCATTTCACTCTCACATCCTTTTCGACACAATCTGAGTTACCTATGCGCTGACTTTTGTCGCAAAATGTGGCTTTGTATGGTAGTCAAATATAAAAAATGTTATATCGTGTTATAAACCGTTTTATTTTTATGGAAGTAGATGATCTTGCAAGGGGTGCTGCACTGATGATGGAACCAGAACCCTTGTTCGGTTTGGGGATCCATACTATCACATAAGTCCAGCAGATCCATCACAATAGTTTAATCTAAGTTGTGGTGCTTCTCACGAGGGTGGTATTGTAGTGTTGGCCCTGAAAAGGGTGCTATTGCTGTCGACCACAAGATTCCTTAAGGCTAGCGAGAGAGGGAGTTGGTCATGCAAAGGACCGATGAGTGATGCACCGGGCACCCTGAAACCATGAGCTCAAAGGTCCTTTCGAGTCTTCGGGAAGGAAGTCTCTTCGTTGCCAAGAGGTGTACGGACTCAAACCTTGAAGGAACTCTGAGAAGGACCAGTGGAGGAGGGTGAGACTCCACAGTCATGTCAGCGATACCCTGTCCCGAGATTGTAGTTCGTGGGATCTCTTGTTCGCTTAATCTACCTCCGTAAGCTTACCGGTTTCCTTTCTCATTGAGTTAATAAATTAGTGTAGTTTTAAGATGATTATGATTGATGACTAGGATGATTATGAAGTAAGATGATTGATCTGAGTTTTAAGCTTTTTAAAAACTGTATGTTGACTAATGATCCTCAGATAGCCAGGGATATATATATTTGGAAGGTCTTGCTGCAATCAGCAGGAATTGGCTTCCTCAGATCGTTTATATTTTGTTTATTCCTTTTCTAGCTTAATTCCATTTTATATACAGACATATTTACATGTTTACAGAGTTTTTACAATATAATTTTGAACACATTTTTAACTATAATTAATTATTAAGTAAAAAGGGAAAATAAGAACTGTGTCTTGAATTGTACTGTAGAATGTACCGTTGTTCTCTAATTTGTGTCACTTTTGTTGGGTGAGTGGTACAGAGTCACCTCACAAACCATCTGAGAAACTAACGGCTGAACTACTAAACCTAGGATGTATTAGGACTAAAATAATAAGACTGTTGCCTGGGCACTGTGGTCTCAGCAGGCATATAGACAGAGAACAGCAGATATTTCCAGGAAGAAAAACGAACAGCAGAACATGTTGGTGCAAAAACTATACAGAGTGAGATTCCTACTATTGAGAGGAAAAGCCAAATGCCTGAAAGAGAGCTCTAGAATATAATAACCTAAATCAGGTACAAAACACACTACATATTGTAGGAAGATGGTGTGAGTAAAAGGATTTAAATAGAAACCCTAAAAACATATCTCATATCTTGCCCGAAAGCACACCTGAAAGGAATATATAGTACAAAGCAATACAAAAAGCAAATGCCATAACAAGTGTGGGCGAAATATTTTGAAGTAAAACATAAAGTACAATCCCTGGTCACATAAAGAAGTCTGGTATAGTGTTACAAAACCTTGAAAAAGAAGACACCTGATCAATTCAAAAAATTAAAAAGACTGGCTTGTCTTAGCATTACCTTATTAAGCAATCCTTTTTAAAAAGATAGTTCCTACTCACAGTAACTGTGACTAGGAACTATCTTTTTAAAAAGGTTTGAACACCGCACTCACTCCACCATTCATCATTTCTATTAATTAGTTAAGCAATGTAAGTAAAACCATTGTATTCCAGAGGATGTCATATGAAAGGAGAAAATACTCTTCTAACAAAATAAAATAAACCTCGACCTAACATTAAGCCATCATAAAATCCACTCTTATAAATAAAAATAATAATAAGAGATGTTTGGAAGAATAAAGACCCTGAAATCAATAGAGAGACTAATTATCCAGATGGAATTAAAGTGGAACTTGGAGTGTGGGTAGGAGTCAAAAGCCACAATTTTGACCTAGCGAAACCCCTACGCCTCAACAACATCTATTTTCCAAGCAGAGTGCAATAGGACTCTGTGCACAAGAAATACCTAAAAAGGGATTAAAAGGTGCTCACATATATTCTCAGGCAATCTAGTAGCAATGAAGCCTGAAGGCTTTAGAGGAGCGCTTGTAGACACCCTTTCCCCCCATCAGAGAACATCTTTGTATTCGTATAAGATGGATCTTAGCTTCAATTACCGTCTCTCCCAGGATCAATTTTGAACTGGTAGCCAAGGAGCTTACACATGTGTATAATGTCGAACAATAACAAATAAAACTCTTATTGGCCTAATATTTAAACAAGAAAAACACAAAAAGAAACAGAAAAACAAAAAGGACATTGTGGGTACATCCTATATTATTGGAAAGGGGGAACAACATGGTGAATTTCATTTTTTTTTTCCAATTAATTTTTACAATTACTATTGGATGCAGAAAAAACATTTAAATTTTATTGATAATACATGATAATTTGAAACATGACATAAACATGATAATGTAAAGGGGCGGAAAGCAGGCAGCATCTACACGCATCAATACACTGGTGTGGTTAATCGCACTTTCTTCACTGTCAAGCACCCAGCAGTAGTTATAGCCTATACAACACTGCAAGTTCGGTAAAAAACATGGTCCGTTGTCCGATGGAAAAAAAAAAAACAGTTGTCTACAAGCACTTAGACTTACATGAGGGGACTGAAGGCAACAGGCTGACAAACTTGCAGAAAGCAAGAGCAGCCCTCATGCCTTAAAAGCAGAACTGAGCAAATTAATGAAGAATGAAATTACCACATACTTGTTGTATTCACCAGGTGAAAAAAATCCTAGTTCCTTGAAGTCTCAACCAGGAAAATAAAAAGCTACTCTGTGGAAGAGATCCTGAGAGTGAGGAAACAATGAGATCTAAAATTTGACAATTCCAAGCATTCGACCTCTTACTAGATTGGAACTTTTTTTTATACTTGTGCAACAATGTGTTAAAGTTTGGAAAATCTTTTTCACTTTTACAAAGTGTTACTCCACATTGTTCTCAATAAAAGAGTTATATTGGATCCTTGACCTTGGGTGTATAATTATTTCTCACTCATCACAATAGCCGTATTGAATGGGTGTTTGGAATCATGGACATGCTCATAATCGTGTTACATAAGAATTGTCCTTGCTTAATACACTCTATTGTACTTTAAATTCACTTACCACTGTACACTGCGAGAAAAGTGAACCAACCATCTCTTCCTTACAACTCGTGTTCACTCATAACTGTGGACCTTTTCCAGAACTTTTGGGTTTAACGGGAAATAAATATGACCTCAAATAATTTTTCCTGCATAGGAACTTTTAGGAAGAAAGATGTCTTTCTTAGGTTGTCTTTCATATGTAAATCTCGTATTTACTCACACTAGTTTGACAATTTTGAATGCTAATTTGGTGATGACAGAGTAAAAGGTTATTGGCATTTTTAAATCAACAAATATTAGAAGACAAATATTTACACAGATGACATTAGAAATAATTAGTATGTTTTATTCATTTTAGGTAATTCAGAAGTTAATTGTGAGACTTGCTATGTTGAGAGTACCCTTCTATAAACTGTGTTTGTTTATAGTATCAATACTTTGTATTATTTATTTTGTTTACACTGCTTTAACATTCTAATATTGTTCTCAAAACTCCAAAGAAATCACCCTAATATTTTTTTTAACAACAAAATTTTATTTCATTAATCCCTGTGTAATTATGAGGTATGAAATTCTTGACCCTCAATGGGTAGTTAAATGTTATGACCTCCTGTATTTCAAGAATTACTTTACTTTTTTTATAGTGTTCAATCAGATTTGGAATGTTTACGCTAGCATTTTATTATAAATTTTCAAACTAAAACAACAGTGGAGAAACAATTGGACATGTTTGCTATAATTGTATATTTAAATTTATTATATATTTATCACTAAGCACACAACCCATAAATATTATCGGTGCATTTAATCACTTAAACTTTTTAATCAATCAAGTAGTGTATAAATAGGCTTGAGTAAATATTCAAAAGCTAAAGAATTAATCTAGTACTGTAGTATCAGTATACTAGAGTCAAGAAAGTCATTATGGGCTACAAAACATGAGGTATGCCCTATTGTTTAAAAAATTAAAAAAAAAAAGTAATAGCAAACTATTTTAATCAAATGATTTATTGTTATTTTCTGTAAAATAAGAATGTCACAGGAATGAGGATAAAATTAATTTTCTTAAGGAATGTATTTTATCAGATCTGTATAAAATATTCATGTATAAGATCTAAAATACTTACAATATATAAAAATACATATGTGTTATTCATAATCATGTATTATAATGCCAATCACAAAATTAATAATTAAAAAATTTAAAAATAATATCAATGATGGTTTTTAGACTTGTGGCATTTTGTAACTAATTATGAATTAGACTAAATTGGGGTAAGCGCTGCTTATGACACTTTTCCCGTCAACGTCAAATGCGTAAGTTAAAACTTGCAATGGTTTCCCGCTCAATACGATATTACATTTGTCATTCTTCCTGGTGACAAAGCATACTGTATAAATGGCCATTTCAAATTCAGGGCTTGTACCATAAAACATCGTGCCGGCCGGTTTATTCACGTTGTTCCATGTATACCTCACTTTCAAAACACCTCCTCTCTGAAACAGAAAAAATATTTATTATCTGCAAAGTAATTACCAATTAAAAATAGTTCTGAACAATTCTCAGACAGAAACTATTCAAAATGCAAATACCTATATGATAAATATATTTAAATTACAACGCCATTAACCTGGTTATTATTACTTACTTTGCCTGAAAACTCCATGTTCTTCACCCAGCCGATGTAGTTGATTGCCTTCTTTTTCTCTTGGTGCTGGAAAAACAGCCAGTTGTGAAGGCCAGACACTTCACCTTTCTTCATTTCTCCAAGGAATATATGTTCAAAGGCTGAGGATCCTTTTTTTTTGTTACCCCTTGAGAAAACGGTGAACCACATGTCTTTCATGAAGTTTTTAAATGCTTCATCTGTTTTGGGAACCAGCACTACAAAAAAAAATATTAAAAAACAATGATAATAATCCTTATATGTCTACCAGTCATAATTGACCTATTTAATTATTTCAACTAATTATACTTTTTATCTAAAGTCTTGCTTGAGATGAAAAAGTTAGCGTCACGAGCAGGATTTGAACCCACAACCTTCGGCTCAATACACCACTGCTCTAACCACATGAGATACCGTGATCACTCATGCCACAAAACGGGGAGTTAAAATAAGAAGTTTGTTGCATGTGCAATCGAAGTCACAGTAGCTCAAGTGGTTAGAGCAGCAGAATATTGAGCCGAAAATTGAGGGTTCTCAATTCCGCCCTTTCACAAATTTTTCATTTTATCAAACATGAGTTATTTTANTCATATCAACCCACGGGGTGTCGTTATTTTTGAAAAAAAAAGAAAAAAAAAGAACCATTTGTAAATTTGTCGGGTTTCAATGCAAGTCAACCCCTAAACCATTGCATCCTCCAACGCCCCCGTGTTCATTTATTAAAATAACTCATGTTTGATAACCTATCGTATTTATTTGTTTTATTTTTATTTTACTGTTTTTCATTGTTCAACTATAACAACCAAATGTGTCTATCCCAAATGTGGACTAGACCTTGAGACAAAAACTTAATTATTAATGCAATGTTGCAAAATATTTTTAAATTATGTTAAAAGTTGTATTTACATTTATCTTGAAGAAACTTTTTCGTTAATTGCATTGACGGTGTGCTCAATACAGCATCTAAAAAGGCCAGTTCTTCTTTACGCTCTTCGGGTGTCACAACTTCATCATGATTAGCATCTGCATCATAGTTATCATATAAAGGCAGAATCTTTTTAATTGTGGGGATTTCCAGCACACTTTTGTCCATCTTTATTAAACTGACAAAATACAAAACAAAAATGAAAAAAAAATAGCATGGTTAAAACAAATGTTAGATTACTTATAATGATGTCATTTTATTTCAAGCTTGAGTGTTAAAAGTTTGACAAAATATAATTGAGATTTTTAGGTATACTTCATAGGTGGCTTGTAAAAGTAGCATACTTAAATTGTACTGAAGCTTAGTATGCCTCAAAAATTAATTATGTGTGTAACACATATGCCTCTGCCTGTGAAAATTCTCTAAATATGATAAATAGCTTTCAAAATACCGAAGTGAAAATTTCTACAGTTGCTTTCCACTTAAATCCTTTAGCAAGTTTAAATCGAGGAAGGTGAGCTCACATTGAAGGAATCCAGGATTATCTGTGGCCTGAAATTCATCTTAACGACACTCACATTGAGGAACTGCACTAATGAAGAGGGGGACTGCAGTAGACGAGTGGTTAAGGGGTCAGACTCTCGGCTAGTACAACCCATCATCACCTCTAGATTTTTTGTGGCACATAAAGGAGACTTTGAATTCAATCCCGATCCACTCGAAAATGAGTATTTTTGTTGGAAGAACACCAGCTGGGGGCTCAATTTACACAACTGTTGTAAGCTCCCACAAAATGAAAGAAGTACAATTAGCTGTAAAGCTTCAGTGCTCAGGGCAACACCTCCAGTTCTTGGTATCCAATCAATAAAGAAATAACAATAAAACGGGAATAAGAATTGGACTTAGTCGGCTGACATATGACCACTTAATTGCTAGTGAACAATTCCCAATATGTCATTCATGGTGACAGCTAACTATCCAGCATATTTTCATACTGTGGATAGTATGCACAGGAAGAGTGATGTGTAGCCTACCTGTGGCATTATGAGAAATGATGTCTTGATAATTATAATCAATTAATTGTGGCATACAAGGCAACAACATAATAAATACAAGATATTAAAGTAATCATGTAGTCTCCCAGCTTAGTTTAGTAAAATGCATTGAAATTGTATTGTACTACAAAATATATGAGGCCGTACATTCATTGGAGAACATGCAAAAATACAAAGCATTTTTAATGATAGTTTAATTTAATATATATTTAAAAAATGCAGTCTTTAGAGTTAATCCATTCCGAGAAAGAAAACTTACTCATTAGGAGCCTCGTCTTTAGTTGAACCATAAGGAGATTTCCCCTGGAGGTTCATTGTAACTAGCTTCCCGGCATTGTTTTGGTCCTTTGTCAGCAACTCTTCAGTGAAAGCTTTTATGTCCTCATCAGCAATGTGACGCACTTTGCCTGAAACAAAGAAAAAACCGCTTAATATAAATAAAAAATATATTGTTTGTCATAGGTGCACCCTGCAGGTAGTTAAAATATGACTCGATTAATAGAAACATTGGTGCAATTTTTGCGCACAAGAGATATACGTTTATTCATTTTGATTAGTAAGCAGTTTGCTTAGTCAAAACAAAAAATGGTATTTGAATTTTCCTGATAACTGTAGATTTTGATAATTCTAATTTGTATTAGATATAACTCGATTCGTTCCATTTACATTCTTTAAAAAAAACCTGATAAAATGAGAGCAGAATTGATAAAGAGTATAACTCTTTCAAGGCAAGATACCAATTCTACTGGTTTGTATCCAACCATCTTTAAAATTAAATTGGCAGAGTAGTATGAAAATGAAAAGTTAAGTTGTGTACTTGTAAGTGGAACACGCAAAAATATTAGAACCTAATTGCTAATGTTGAATATACCGGGTGTCAAGCTACTAGCTTCACAAACTTTGCCAGTGAATTCACACCTCCAGAATGCAAAAACATTCATATGAACCATGGTCCAATTCTCAACCCTTTGTAGATATTCAACATTTTATGTTATTTTCAACTATCAACGGTTTTCATCTTAAATCAAATTGTAGCTCCTGAACTAACCATTTTTGGGAAAATCCAACAAAAAAAAGCATTGAAAAGATCATTAAATTTCTTTTATGGAAACACCCTTCCAGAACTTCAAATTTTATTTTTGGTAAAAAGGAAAACTATATTTTTTTTTAAACTGCTAAATTTAAAATTGATTAAAAAAACTAAATTTGCTGTCTTGTTGGAAAAATTCAGGATAGAGCTTGGCAAATTCCATAACTTCTTTGTTTAATAAGCTTTTAAAAAAGCATAAAAAAGAAAAATTCAACGTAAAATCAAACACGACCCATAGAACAGAGACAATAACCATAGCAAACAGCCAAATTAAGATAATTTTTTTAGCTTTTTTATAAAAATCTCATTAAACATAGAAGTTGTTTTGAAATTTTCCAAGCTCTACTGTGAATTTTTCCAATGAGATTGCAAATTTAGGTTTTTAACAAATTTTAAATTTAGTAGTTTTGGAAACACAATAAATTGTAAGTTCTAGAAGGGTCACATTGTCACTACTTTTTTCCCATTAGCATAAAATTTCTGCATTTTGGTTCGAATTATTTCACGAATAGGATATACCACTAGAAACCTTATTAAATTAATAAATTGTTATAGTCTTAAAAACTTTAAAGTTTAAGAGCTGACAAACAGCTGAGGTCATCGCCAGCTCTCTGTGTTTTTGCTTCTCTTTCTGGTCTTTCACGCCAATTTTTCACCCTGCAGCCATTTGAGCATCTTGATCTGTTACTGACACTCTGCTTTTATACAAAAACCAAGCCAATATCCTAATATGCTAGCCTCTCATTTGTACCTCAGGTTGTCAACTACAGAATAAAACATACAATATACATCACCACAAACATAGAAGTCTGGTCACATTCACTCCCCCAGAGTACTCGATATTCCTTGGGGCAGGGTTGAACCAACTACACTCTTGCTAATACTATTCCTCTCCAGGTTTCACACACTCACCCCAGAGTACTCAATATTCCTCAGGGTGGGGTTAAACAACCCTTTCCTTTCAGTCTAATAAATTACATTCATTCCAATAAATTAACACAAACATAAACATTATATAAATTTAAAAATCCTTTGAGCTCTGAAGTACCCACTGTCATGCCCCAAGACTACGCACAGGTCTGATGATACGTCAAAATATCGTCTTTGTAGTCAAAACTACAATTGAAAAGGTGCTCATTATTCTGTTCTTGCACAAGGTCGCTTTCCGGCCAGAAGGCGTCTGTGAGCTGTGCGTTATTTTCATACAACCTATGCATAGTCGTGTCAGTATGGCCTTTTCCCTTTTCGACCCGTTCTCCAAGGACCAGGGACCGAAGTCTTTCGTAACCCACCACAGTTTGCCACGATTATTTTTATTTTGCCGACCCCAGCAGTTTCTCCATTCTTCTTTTCCAATATTTTAAACTAATAGCTGATGGGTTGGTTTGGGAAGCATCGTCGGGCCTTCTGGCGACCTTTTGGCAGCATTACTTCTTTTTTAGTCTGAATTTTTAGAAATGAGTTTCGGATTTTAGTCTCCACTATGTGGAGGTGGACAGTCCTGATTCTCTTCAGAGAAATGGAAAGAGTAGTCAGTGAAACATGATTTATAGTACTATCAAATTCTTCATACTTGTTAAAGAAGTAAACTTGACTTAAAATGTTCACGTTTATACCTGATATATGTGATCTACCAAATTCTGTGATAAGACTAGACATTTATATTAAAATTGAACCATCAAAAGACAAGCAGGAAAACAGTTTTTTTTATAAAATCAAAAATAGCATTCTATTTTCGACTTGTTTTGACAAACCTTGTTTCTTAGGAAAATTGTGTTTTGTATTTTCACTGCTGGAAAAATATTAGAATATTTTTATTTTTTTAACTTACCAACACCGATGGCAGAATTGACTAGGCCAGAGGCCAAGATGAAAAAGATGAGAACCATCGCGGTCGACAGTCTAGGTCAATCTGAAAACCAAGGCGAAATGGAATCCTGCGAACTACCTGGAGTGCCCCCACTCCATCCCTATGGAGAAGTGAGACAACTAACCGTTTTTAGTAATTACTAACACCATTGCGTTATCAGGCCGTACGATTTCCGTCGTAAAGCGATCACAGTCATCATTCCGTCTACAGTAATCAGGTTGACAAATCTATATAGATGTTAAATCTGTATTTAGATAATCTTTTCTATTTTTTAATTTGGATTCTCTACGGTCACGGTTGGCCAATTGGATGTGCAGATTGATAGCGAAGGTCGAGGAGAATTAGAATCCTCTTTTTAACACGTTCAACACGTTGTAATCTCTCGAATCGTCGGATCAGGAAGAAGCTGATTGTCTGGAATTTTTTCGTCGAGCAATTAACTCTGAAGCAAATAGAATCGAGATTACACCACCAAAAACATTTGCTTCTAGCAGAGATAAACTCGACGTTATTTTCTTACACAAATTATTACAGGATTTAATAGAAAATTAATATCAACGTTCCTCGCAGCTATAACTTGAGAAATCCTTTCCTTAAATTCTTTCGTCATTCATTATCACAGAAATAATTGCACTTATCATAATCCGATAGACAGGATTCAGTACCTAACAAACTGCCTGGTGACATCGATATTTTTCATACTTCTTGAGATATTTTGAAACGTGTTGTTTAATGTTATATTTTAATTTTTCTTTAGATTCTTTCAAGCTTAGGTTTACGCAAACGAGAGAGGTATTCAATTCAATATGAATAAAGGGTAGAAAAACAATAACCTAGCTATCATGTAACACAGCCAAGTAGCCATCAAAGCGCTAAGTTCGAACAACATTAGCTCAAAGATGGTGCTGATTTGTAAAACTAAACTAAACAAATTAGGCAAAACAAAGTCAACCTCTGCTTGGTACCAGAATATGTGGAGAAAGCAACGGAAAGGATTGCAAGAAGATGGGCTGCCATACCACTGATAGGACCCGAGCCCTTCTGTGGAATAGGAATCCACACTATCAATGAACACCTCAGACCGAAGATAAAAAGAAAATTAGTGTACAATGGAACTCATTCACTGGATACAAACAAAACAAGAACCTCGTAACAAAGTTTGAAATGAAAGAGGTAACAGATTCTTTAAAGGAAGCAGGAAAAATTTGCGAATCGTAACAGGACACTACGAATTAATTGGAAGAAGATATTTGAAGAAGATTTGTTTAACCCAAGACGGTTATATCACCTACTAACAAATTGTGGTGCTACACTTGCGCGCACGAGGAAGTGTTTTGGGACGTACCATGTAACTTAGAAGAGATTCGACCACTGAAACCGGGCCTACTAATCAAGTTCCTTGACGTACTAGGACTCACCGGTGTGATATAAGCACAGAACGGGGGATAAAACAGCTCTTAAAGTGCGTAGTATAAAGCCGCGCCCTCATTATGGCAAATGGCAAAGCCAAGAGTGATGTGGACTTTTTGTCGGCTAGTGCCAGTTGTCAAAGTAGTGCCAACCGGAACACGACGAGTGTCGGTCCATATCAAAGGAAGCACATGTAATGGGGACGTGCCAATTGACGTGCCTCTGGATGATGACTCTCGATATAGCTTGTTTCGAACTTTTGAACATGTACACCAATGAATGGTATGAATTTCCTGTTGCTAGGAACCGCAGTGTTACAGTACGACGTTCATGAGCTGGAATGGCTTTTCTGAATGTAGTGTCCCTCTTGCTGATTATCGGCCCGGTCGTCGATTCTGTGGTTTATGATTCGCTCGGTCAACCCTTATTACCGCTACAGCAGCAATAAGCAAGTCCTCATCGGTATACATACGATGCGACTGTATGCCATTTCCAATATGGATGCAGTAAATAGGTAACCTTATTCCACGTTGACCAAGCGGACTATTGGCAAGTAAAAAGAACCCTAGGCAAATCTTGGGGATTAAAACCGAAAATGGCCCAATGGCCCATTGGCCCATTGGCTACGCGGCAGTAATAAGACCCAAAATAATATATGGATCTGGTGGGCCAAAGCTCAACAAAAACTAGCTACTCAATCGCTAGACAGCACACAAAGATCAGCAAACCATGTATCACAGGGGCAATGAGAACAACACCTAAAAGTGCACTAGAAACTCTGCTAAACCTACCTCCACTGGAAACATACATAAAAGGAGAAGCTAGAAAAGCTCATTTAGGCTCCAAAAACAAACAAGTTGTGTGGGAACGAAACAAATCGGATTCACAACAATAATTAATAAAATCAGACACCATTCTTGAAAATGGGGATTGACTGCATGATCCCGGAAACATTCTTTCAACAGACTATAAAGGAGAGGAAGAAGTTAGGAGAGCATCAGCAATGATATGGTATAAGATGGCTCCAAAACAAACGAAGGAACGGGATCGGGTGTTTTCTGTACAAGCCCAAAACATGAGCAATCAAACTCATTAGGGAAGTTCACTTCGGCCTTTCAAGCAGAAATACATGCCATCAATGCTTGTGCCCTAGAAAATCTTGAAAGAAGCGTGTAAAAAAAATCACATCAAATTTCCAAAACCTGGTGATACACAACAGGATATCTTGGTTGCCAGGGCACAAAGGCATTTTTGGTAACGAAAAAGCAGATGCACTGGTCAGAGGTCTGCAGGACCATATGCCCCTAACCTATACTTGGGATAACAAAACAAACAGAAGCCTCCATCACAGAATGGATCCAAATAAAACAAAAAGAGAAGTGGATAAACTCTAGGGGCGCTAGAAACAGTAAATTTAAGTTAAAGCAACCCTCACCAAGTCTGGCAAACTTACTGCTGTAGTTGCATATTAAAGGAGTGATCTAACTACTAGCCGGCTATTGGCATCTGAGAAAACATGTACATAACACGGGCGTATATAACGATGATCCCGTTTGCAGATTAAGTAAGGAGGAGGAAGCAACAGCCACCCTGGCGATTTTAAATGGATCTTCGACTGCAAGCAACGGGATAACCTAGCCAGAAAAAACCTAGGTAATGAAATTGTAGCAGCGACAGTCAATGACCTAATACTTTTGAGAAGAAGAACTAGAGACTCAAAACTACGTACAAATAAAAGAGTTTTGCTGATAGAAATGGATGTACAAGGAGCCTTCGATTAAGCAGGCAATAGAACAGGCTTTTAAATGGATTCAAGGAAGAGCTAACGGTGCGGAGGGTTCCGTGCTTATCAGCCCAGACAGCCGGACCTCTATTGACTTGTTAAAGTCCCGAAAACGCATGACAATGACAGTCCAATGCATTTGGAAAATGTTAATCGATTTGGAAAGAAAATGTTGGAAAATCTCAATAAACTGGATTAAAGCGCACATCGACATACAGGGGAATGAAGAAGCGAACCGAAATGAAAAAGAAGCAGCGAGAAGCGAGGACCTAACAGAAGCTTTTAACCTGACACCGATATCGCATGTACTAAGAACAACGAGTGAAACTTCAACTGGAATGCATGAAATGTGGCGAACACCGACAACGGAAGTCACACTAAAAAAATTTATCCAACAATATCACAACGCCTAAGAATAGGGATCAAACGCTCAAACAAAATCACAGAGATTTCTCTGGTCAATTGTCTGGTCACGGAAAAAATAAAAGGCACCAAAAAAGGCCCAAGATCGTCGCGGATGACTCTCATGGGGCGGAGCCCAAAATTGGGAATCACCAAGTTTGACAAGGACGACCCGATTTGGTACGTGCAATAGTATTCCAAGGAGGATAATGGCCACCAATATTTTTAGAATTAATTAATACATTTCAAAAAAAAAATTTCGTTTATTAAAACACTCAAATTTGATTTAATTAAAAATATTCAAGATATAATAATGTTAATTTAAGCCATCTACGTGCAATGCTATCTACAATGCCATCTACATGTATCATATGGAGCATGTGGTAAATAAAATCCCTCTCACTAGAGGTACTAGTAAGAGGAAAAACTGAAGTAGGGAACTAAGAAGGAACAAAGCCAGAAGGCCTGCAGTGCCTGGGGAGCAATAACCCAGCATCGAAGTATTCTCATCACCATCACCATTATCCAAAATCCTTAAAATACTTACCTGCTTTGTTTACGTGTGCAACACTAAACGTAGAATGAATAAATAAAAATAAAAAAACTTTCGTTTTCAGTGCTCATGGTTCTGTTTTTTATATTTTTTTAATATTTTTTTAAAATTTTATTACGTTTAATTTTGTAATTATTTTATTTATTATTTTATAATTATTTTATTATTTTTTTCTCGAAATTCGCCTCGGGCCCCCTTAGTTACCATAGTTTGAAAAGAGACAGTTTGACTTAACTTCTAATCTAACTAGTCAAGATAAAACGTAAAATATGCATTTTTGGGGTTGAAATACGGTTTAATTTTGAGCGGGAGGTGGACGGACTTGCATCGTGTCTGTGTAGTGATCGAGAGTCACGTCCGAGAGACCCGATCCTCTCGACCAAAAGCTTGTCCAATCTTTTTAAAAGCGGATCTCGCAAATTTAAATTGTTTATAAAAATGTTTCTTGTATTTCTAAGGGGAATCAAATAAGGGAATATTTAAAAAAAAAGTTGTTTTTATCGTGAAAAATGTATCGATTGAAGGTAATGAATCGATAGGGAGCGATGTGAGTTTGATTGTCGGAAGCCGTTTAAAAGTCCGTTACGGGGGGATTTAACTTGAACCGGTTCCAGCGAGCAGACAGTGTGGACCACGGACTCGACCTTACCACGAAACACGCCGGTTTACAATTTCAACTTGAAATTTAATTACAATTTAAGTCGACTCCGGAGTGAAATGGCTACTTCTGGCGTACGCACTCATCGTGCCGTAAGTTTTGGATTTGATTTTATGTTGGCTCCCGTCTCAACGGAACCCGGCAGAAAATTGATCCCTGATTTTTTTTATTTTATTTTTCTACAGTTTGAGATTGTAATTCAAAAACAGGCCTGTTCTTTCCTGACAACTGTTGATCTTTCATTTCATTCGATTCGGCTCGAAACAGATGAAAAATCGCAGCCCGAAGGAAACAAAAAAAGACGTTCGAAGGGATTTACGTCAAATAAATAAATAAGTACGCGATACGTGCAAAGTTCTTTATTTAAATATTCGACAGCCGAAATTTCGACTTGGTCGGTTTCGTTTTCGGTGGGAATCATCCACATTTTCCAAACAGGGTCCAAATTGATTCCCGTTTTTAATAGACTTAACCCGTTTTCAAATTTTAATATCAGCTTTGCCAGTCTCTTCATCAATCGAGTCTTGATGAAATTTAACGAAAACAATGCGATCAAGATTAAATAAAATCATTTTACCCATAATTTAAATGGAATGAAGTACTGTAGTAACCACCAGTAGGATTTTATTTGGTGGTTGGAGTGGGGAAGCAGTATTGATTTTTTAGTGTTAAGTTCAATTCGCACTTTTTTTTTTAAATGTATTATTTAATAAGTAGACCATTTGGTAGACGTTTGGTCTGAAAAACCAGATATTTTCTCCCAGTGTATTACTACAATTAAAAGAAAACATCGTTAATTTATAAAAACAGTTAATTGAGAGTACTCAGAATACTTTTTGTGGCTCGCTCTCTATCTCTCTCTCTCTCTCNCTCTCTCTCTCTCCCTCTCCCTCTCCCTCTCCCTCTCTCCTTCTCTCTCTCAAAAATAAGCCTTGAAGTTTGTTGCTTAAGGTATTAGAATTTTATCATTAGCATTACCACAATCATTTTACAAATTATTTAAATACAATGTAATGTAGTGGCCACTTCGTTTGGATTTTATTTGGTGATTGGAGTGGGGATGCTGTTTTGATTATGTTAGTGTTAACTTCAATTAAAATGTATTTTTTAATACGTTAGTATATAATTAACATTTGACCTGAATAAATCAATTATTTACACTGACTTTATTGATGTAATTAAAAGAAAACATACATGATTATGGAGTACTTTTTTTTTTAATAAACAAAATAGTTACAAAAACAAAAATGTGCCTTGTGGAATTGAAGTGTCGCTAAAATATTAGAATTTTACCCTACTGCCTTCGGAATGCTGAAAATAAAGCAAAGTCACTTCATACATTATTTAAATACAATGAAATATTGTAGTAGCCACCCCTATCTGAAATTTTACAAACTTATAAAAGGGCAGAATTGACAAAATTACACACAAATTAACTATTGAAAATAGTGAAACACTGAAACCCAAATCATCCAAGCGAGGATAGGCAGATGAAAATGATTGGTAACGACCATGCAATACAAGGAATACAAAAAAGTAGATAGATGATAGATTTTGTCTGTCTGTATTAACTAAAATAATTTTAAAATTCCGTTTAATAACAAATCAAAGTCTTGTGCTGGGGAGCTCAAATCTGGAGTATCAAACTGGTAATATAGAAAAAAATGTTCCCTATTTTTGAATTAAATATTTTTATAAAATTCTTCACCCATGTGACCTTTTTGATCTTCCACTTGTTCTTGGAGAAAACTTTGCTATATCCTTTCAACTGTAGGAGAAAGGGGCCTATTGTGATTATTTTTTGTTTTAATACCCTCTGTTTATAAGACATTTATTTTTAATAAAAAAATATCCTATAAATTGGAACAGTATGTTGTATAAGTAAATCTATGCATTTAAGATGCAGTTTTGCCTTATTAATTTAAATTTTTTATCTATAAAACTGATTGTAATTAGTAGTTCAATTTTATACAGTGGCTGTCTGAAATTAAGCTGACATCATACTAAAAATTCTTTGATAAATGATATTTATAAAAAACACAGTAAAATAGTATTTTATTTTAAAACAGTTAGTCTGTTTGTAAATCCTCAGAACTTGTACTACAAATTCATGGAGCAAATATTATGGATGTCGAACTCATGCTTATTTAAAGAACCGCTGCTGAAATTTACAAAACCTTTAGCATTTTGTATTTCTAAAATTGTATTTTATACATTTTTGTCAACTTTAATATTTCTGTACAATCAAAGTTTTTTCTTCTATGCATTTATATATTTATCATTTTTAGACAAATGACAATGAAAATACTATTTTACCTGCTAAAGGTAAAATATTCCGAAAGGTTCTTACACAAAGAGCTGCCCTTGGAGAAATCGGTAACACTGTTACTACAAAACATGTTGCTAAAAAGGAAAATTTGGTTGCACCGATAGATAAATGTGTGCAGAGTTTCAAAGATTTAACTACACTTAAAGATAAGCCAAAAGAAAATGTAGCCAAAGAAAGAGCCGTCAAAGGAAATGAAATCTGCAAAACGGTCACTGGGTAAAGTATTCTTTTATTTTTTAGGAGGTTTAAGCCTATTACTAATATAGTTAAACTTCCTCTAACGGACACTTCTCATAACCCGGACAACCTTCTTGACCGTACGATTTTATTTTCCCTGACATTCCATTCACTGAAGAAAAGTTCTTCTAATAACTGGACATGGACACAATATTTACAGATTTTTCAGTGAAAGTCTTATAAGCAGGCTGCAGAAAAAAAAAAAAAAAAAAACTTGGATTCCATCAATGACAGTTGATGCTTATGTGTTACAACAAGTAATATTTTGAGAATACTCAACCCTCTCAAACACGTTTGTCGCTTTCCAGGGTTAGTTTTCAGTTCAGTTAGTCTTATGATTGTAAGACTGATTCGGAGATGAGTGTGAAAAAAATTTCTGTCAGATAAAAGTTCCAAGTCATATATGTCCATGAGAAAAGATTGGTACACATATGCATTCATTTGATTTCAATTAATTTTTATTTTTAACTTTATGTACTTAATTTTTCTATATTTGGACCCTTATAATAAGTGGACAAAATTGCATTATTGAGTGGTGTCCGCTTAGGGGGGAAGTTCAGCTGTATATTAAACCTTTACAGGAATGATTTTAGACTAATTGATAGATAAATCTAATTATTCTTACAAGAGCTTATTCTAATGTTCTAGGTTAGAATAAACCTTATTTTTTAAATAAATAAGGCAAACAAAATGAATTTAAAAAAATGCCCACAGGAGAGAGCCAGAGAGAAAAAAAGGACTAGGCATGTTCATAAATAAAACTCGCACTTCACGCTTTTTATTTTCTCAGCTTCATGGAAAAACCATGGATTTGTAACATAACCCTAACCCCACTTAACCTAACCTAACTTGACATTTCTTAGTCTAACCCTAGGGGACTGTGGTAGTGTAGATGAGTGGTAATTATGATAGACCTCGCAGTCGTGGTTTCGATTCCCACTGCCACCCCTGACCTGTCTTTTTTTTAATGCATCCCTTTCCTCCAAAAAATACGCGTATATACACATCTCCTTGGCTAATATGCAACATCATAAGACCATTAAAAAAACTCTAATCCTACCTAACCTAACCTAACCCAATCCATGCAAACTGCAACCCTGCGCATAATGCGAAAATGGTCTCACAAATATTTTATGCCCAGCCAAGAAAACATCTGTTAATATTTATTCTCAGCCATATTAGGAAATTTATATAAAGAAAAGGAAATTTATAGTAAGAAACATTTTTTATTCTACTTCGACCACATTGTTGATCATTCTTATTTTTTAGTTTTTAATCTTTCCAATCAGTTCCAAGTTCATTTAGCCAGTTCTCAGTTTGCAATTTTGACTAACTGACTCGGAGATGACAGTGAAAAAAATTCATTCTGTCATATAAAAGGTCATACAAATCCGCGTGAAAAGATAAAATTGGTGTAAACATGTACATTTATTCGAAGTCAGTTCATTTTTTGTTTTAATTTAACATTATGTACATAATTTTTCTATATTTGGACTCTATAAACAGACAAATCCCGTTCCTGAGTACTGTCCACTCGATGGAAATTTGACTGCATTCTAATCCTAATACCAGTAATTTTAAACTAATTGATGAATCTTATTAACTTTATTTTTATCCTAAAATGGTTTAATCTAACATTAAAAGTTCTAGGTTTGACTAATCCTTACCATGTGCTAAATAAATTTGTCAAGGCTAAATAAATTAATCTAAATAAATGTTATTAATAATGTATCTTAGATGTGCTGGAGTTAAACCTTCCGATATCCATCTGAAGGTACTAAATCTTCGAAAGGACTGGCTTAAAACTACAGATTTGGAAACAGAAAAGAAAATTCAAACCCATGATATTCCTGCTGGTGTTGAAAACATTGATGAACAAGATGCTGATAACCTATTTTTATTGAGTTCCTATGTTTTTGATATCTTTGAATATTTGAAATCTATTGAGGTTTGTACAAATTCTAAATTTTTTGCTATTTTTAGTATTTTATATGTAATTCTTGTATATTTTAATTGTAAATACATTATATTTTATATTGCACTTGAAAAAATTATCAGCAATGGCTGATGATTTTATGTTGTCACTTTAATCTATAAACTTGTAGCCTATGACCTAGCATCATAGTCTGAAAAAGACATGTATAATTGTTTTAGAAAAAATATGCTGTTCGGCCAAAGCATTTAAGCCATTTGAAAATAACCGGTCATATGCGTGCTACTTTAATCGATTGGCTTGTGGATGTACAAGTGGAATTTAATTTAATTCAAGAAACGTTTCAAATGGCTGTATCAATTTTAGACAGATACCTACAGGTAAGTCAGAATGAATAAATTTATATCAAAACTATATATGTTTCATTATGAAATGACTTATTAAATTTTGTGGGCTGATTCAGCTTGGGGTTTACCCCCTGGACAAACTGCAAGTTTTGTTCCACTGAATTGTTATGTAATAAATTTACGTTATTCTGGAATGACGTACTGAACCCTTCCTCATAGATGGACATTATTACAGAACGTTGCACCTCTTCTAGAAAACCCCTGCTTGTTGTAGGGTGTTAGGGGTATTTTTTGGGATAAAACTGATGTCATAGGCCTTTGCTATGGTTTTGCAATGTTATTGTGAAGACTGTTTTTTTTTTAATTTGAGCTTTTGAAAAAAAAAAATTTTTTTTCCGTTAGATACATATTACTAAAAGTAATGTATCTACACATGTCCTCTTAATTCAACTTTAAATTAATGCATTATAAAATAAATTCATTATTCCGGGTTTTTCAATTTTCCATGGACCCCCCTCTCTATCGTTACCCCAGATAATGGAGGTTTTTACTGTATTTCTTAACTAATTGTTTGATAACCGCAAGAGTATCATCACTGATTGGTATAGATTTTATATATTTAAAGAAATACTGCGATGTGTGGAGAAAAATGCGCAACCCCTCATGGAGGTTAAACAATTTATTCAAGTTATTTTAACCTCGTTGCAATAATTAAATTATATTTGTAATGTAGATTTGATTGTAATATTGTTCATTTTTATTTTATAGGAAGCAACTGATGTGACAGGAGATAATTTGCAATTAGTTGGAATAGGATGCTTATTCATTGCTTGTAAATATGAAGAGACTTATCCTCCTGAAATTGAAGACTTTGTCTATATGTCCAACTCCGCATTTCTTCGTGGAGAAATTTTGGAGATGGAGTGTAAAATATTGAAATGTTTGGAATTTAACCTTGGCAAACCAGTTCCGATTATATTTTTAAGGCGATATAGTAGAACGATATCTGTAAAAAATTTGTTTTATCAATTCATTCATTTCTTGGAAACAGTAACAATATGCTTTGTGTTTTAGGCAGAACCCATGCAGCATTCTTTTGCTAAATATTTTATAGAATTGGCCTTATTAGATTACAAATTTGCTTGCGAAAGACCTTCACTTATTGCTGCTGCAGCTTTACACATTGGAAGGAGGTACATACAATAAACAATATATTGTGTAATTGTAAAAGAATTTAAAAAAAATGATTCTAGATGAACTGATCCTTTATTAATAAAATATATTACCATGATTAATTGTTTTTGTTAGAATTTCTCTGTCTGATGATGTAGCACCAAATGCTATTTGGAACCCGACCATCGCTTATTATTCTGGTTATGCCCTAAGTGATATTGAAGAAATCCTTCCCAGAATGGCTTTATGCATAAAACAAGCATCCTTATCAAAATTGAAGGTAAAAATTATGGCAATATTTTTAAATTTATTATGAGTTTTTAAAATTTTATTTAAGAATATGTTAAATGGTAAGAGTAAAAATGCAGAATGTAAATTCTGTGAAGTTCTTTTCAGCTTTATAAAAAAAATGAAACAGGGTGTCCACCAGGCAAAATAGGATAAAAAGTCCGACTATGATGTTAAATAAACAGGAATTAGTGACAATATCAAGGCCTCATAAGACAAAAATTAGCTAATTGTAACCACAACTGGATGTAGTGAAGATATTTGAGAGAAAGAGAGAGATCCAAAAATGGAAACCTTTTCAACAAAAGATGATGTTCAAGGGCTAAGAACTGAAATCCAGTCTTTCCACAAAGAAAACAGCAAACTGATCAACAAATAACACCTTAAACTGGAAGAGAAAATGAGAACATGATAAATAATTGTATACCATAAGGCCTTAAAATAAACAATGGACAATGCGGTGAACTTGGTGCAGAGTTCTTTTAGGAAAACCAGATCAGTTCTAAGTGAAGTGAAATATATCAGAGTAGACTGATGTATTGGATCTTCTTGAGGTCATTTTACAGGTTAATAAAGAACATCACTAATTGGGTTTCACCAAGCTTTCAGCGAATGTTCTGCCATCTTCAGGGCCTAATTTATTAAAAACAAAATTTAAACGTACTTAACCAAGTTGTTAGGAAAATTAAATTCATAAGTTAACACTGAAAAAAATGAAACCAAAGGATGGACCGATGAGTGTCACTAGACTTTAAAGCAAGACTGTTTTTGGTTTTAGTATATAGATTCATTTTCACCTTCACTTCAAAAAAACAACAAACATGTGCAATAAATTTAATTTTCCTAACAACTGGGTTAAGTACATAATTGTATTTTGTAATGTATTTATATAAGATGGGTTATGTAACTCTGTTCATGTAAATTTTGTTTTTAATAAATTAGGCCCTGAAGATGGCGGAACATTCGCCGAAAGCTTGGTGAAACCTAATTAGTGATGTTCTTTATTCACCTGTAAAATGACCTCAAGAAGATCCAATACAACATCAGTTTTAACTACGTAGGTCGATCAACGTCAACTAGAATATCAGAGTAGCTTTAGAAGGAAAGCACTGAATAATCATTCTGCTGCTAATTTCTGGTCAGGATGAGTGGGCTATTTTTGGCAGAAATAAAATGAACAAAAAGCAAAGAACCCACTTCAATGCCTGTTTATAGAGGGGACTTGCTTAAAGTAGAGCAAATTTTTATTTTTAATTTAATTTAGCATCTGTTTTTAAAGAACACTAAAGATGCTAATAATGTTACAATTATAGTCATCAGTATATCTTACAATCATTTAACTATTGTCAGATGAACTGTTTCCAGTTATAACCATTATTTGTACCAATATTTTTTCTCAGTAATATGGATATTGAAAAATATAAATCTCACAGGTTCTCCAATAATTTATATTTGTTTTTACAGGCTGTTCACAATAAATTCTCCTCGAGTATATTCCACAAAGTCAGTTTATCTCCTCATGTTCAGCCGAATTCAGGACTTTTGGATAAATTAATCAATGGTAAATTTACATCCTCTTAACTGTTTCAGTACTTCAGATGAATCTTAATTCTAATGTTGACAAAAACTAATTTTTGTTGTTTTGATAAAAGCTCTTTTCAAATGTGTTATTAATAGCCACTATGTATCAGTTGTGTAAATTATCATATAAATATATTATTTTATTTGTAAATACATGTTTTTTCTATATGATTAATTGAAATTCCTTTCGCCTTTCCTTGTATACACTGAACTGATTTCAGTGATGTTTTTTAAGGATGTCAAATATTTCACACTAAATCTGGCAAAATGCATCTGACAGGCCAACCCAGCAACCCTGAATTAATTCAATTCAGTATTAGGTATTAATACAAGCCAATAGTTAGATGGATATTAATAGGTTATAAAGTTTTAAGATGAATGTTTTTTTGTTGGATACATGGTCATGCAATGAATTGAGTTAGAGTTAGGGACGGGTTAGGCTAGGTAGAAATAAAATTAGGGACGGGTTAGGCTAGGTAGAGTTAGAATTAGGGACAGGTTAGGCTAGGTACAGTCAGAATTAGGGAAAGGTTAGGCTAGATAGAGTTAGGAGTAGGGACAGGTTAGGCTAGGTAGAGTTAGAATTAGGAACAGGTTAGGTTAGGTAGAGTTAGAATTAGGAACAGGTTAGGTTAGGTAGAGTTGAATTAGGAACAGGTTAGGTTAGGTAGAGTTAGAATTAGGAACAGGTTACGTTAGGTAGAGTCAGAATTAGAGAAAAGTTAGGCTAGATAAGGTTAGAAGTAGGGAAAGGTTAGGCTAGGTAAAGTTAGAACTAGGGACAGGTTATCCATGACTTAATGCTTTTCTATGAAGCGTAGTAAATATGCAAGTGCGATAAGTTTTTCAGTATAGTTCTTGCTTGTAGTTACGGACAGCTTGTATGTATGTGATAAGCTGTATTGAAAATAATAATAGGGGGACCGCGGTAACCGAGTGGTTAGCATGAGAGACTCACGCTGCGGTCGTGGGTTCGATTCCCACCGTCGCCTCTGGCCCTTTTTTCCCGATAACCCCCAATTTGAACACACAAGAATTCGTACTATGGCTAATATGCAAGATCATAAGGCCAATAATAATAATTTAAAAAAAAAAAATAATAGTCTTTAATAAATAAATAATAACTTTGTGAGGGGCACCATTGGATGTATTACGTTACCACAAGTTTCAGGTTTATTGCATACTAATTTTAGCGCAACAATAACTGCAAGTTTTGTACCAAAGTTAAAAAATCAACATATTCATAATGACTTGCATTGTTTGACTTGAATTATTTTATGGTGTTAATTTACCAGTGTAATATTGGTGTGCCTGAAGGGTCTAGTGAGCTATAATGTGGAGTTGAAGGATATAATGGCTGTGCATATTAGGATAATGTCAGGATGGGAAGGGGTATCAGCAGTATATACTGAGTATACTGCAGTGTGATTGATATTAGAAGATTTGAGAATGTGGAGTATTTACTTACAAAGGAGTTGATCTAGATTTGGCAATATACTAATGGGACAATAGCTGGGCCTTTTGGGTAGAGTTGCATTCATAGAGGGTGGTTAGGAGAGTATGGCTTTTATTGGGAGTTTATCTAGGATTGAAGATTAATGAAGTCAAATCCAGGAGCTTTCTGGAGAGGTAGATTTTTAATTTTGTATTTGACATTAGAAGGAGTAAAACGGTTAAGGGGACAGATATACATAACAAAGTTTGGAGATTCTGTAAGGATTCTTAAAGTTGTGAGTTGGTCATGTAGGGTTGGAAAAGAAAATTGGTGGATTTAGAAATATCGACAAGAAGACATTAGCGCTTAAATTTTATTTTAAAATATATCCTTTATTATATTTATACATAAATTGTGAAAAAATAGAAATTCAATAACAATTGTAAGACATTTTATGTTTAACCTATTAATACAATAACTTTAAATTTACCAATCAACAGGTGAAAGGTTTTCAATTTGGTTAACATATTGGGTAAGTCACTCACAAGTATTTTCATTTTTATATTTTGTTTACATATCCATTCCATTATTAGAATAATCTTGTATAAAAGTGAAATGAACAACTATCCAAAGTAGACCCAATATTATTGAGCCGACAAATAGACTTAAACGTAATTTAAGGATAGGGTCAAATTCATTTTTGTTTGTGTTCTCTTCAATATTTGTAACGGTCTGTTCTTGAACTTTCTCTCCCATACTTTGTGAACTCACCTCAGGAGGTACTTCTTCTTTGGATCCGTTGTTACTTAAATTCGTCTTAGCTACCTCTTCCAATTCAACATTGTCATTAAAAGCAGGATTGTCCATCTAAAAATAAAAATAAATTTAATACTGGCAGTTTATTGTTGTGAAGATTTGTATGGAAAATGTTAAATGGATGTGCCCAATTTATTTGAAACCCAAAATTTACCATTACTATATCCTTTTTTAGATCCTTCTCTCACTAAAGCAATTATAACTAATCCTATTTAGTGTTATTGTTTAAATTTATTGTTAGACCAGTTTAAACTTTGTATCACAAGTCTTTACATCAAGTACCACAATAGATACTACTTTAAAAATTACTATTGAGATAGTGATTATTTTTAAACGGGAAAAGAAAGATATACCAAAATGAGTTAGTAATGACTGCTAAAAAAATTCAAGAACTTTTTAATATATGAATGATGTTTATGAATGACTATATTTGCCTTAGAACTTCATTTCAATCTGTTTATCCTCCAAAATTATTAATTATCCAAGGTTGTTTGATATAATGGAAAACCGGCTCATTTTTAGTACATGGATATCCAGAATGACGAAGATTTCACATGCCAAAACCTGAAAAAAAAAATCATTAAAAGTTCTATTTTTAATTAAAACATTTTAAATTATTATACACTGTTTTTATATTTGACAACTGCTTCTTATATTAACCTCCAGGACCAAAAGGTCACTAGTGACCTATTATAAATAAATTTTCCCTTCCCTTTATTAATTTCCCTAATGACTTTTTATTTTTATTACTACCTGGATAATTGACACTTGTACCACAAGTACAGACTAGGCAGAAGCTTTGCTTCTCAAAGTTAGAGCAATGAAATAGCATGTGAAGCAAAATGTGGTCCCAAGTTTGATGTGAACTATCACGTCAGTAGGATCATGTAGGGTGTTCATTTTATGCAGATAAGCTTTATTTTTCCCATGTTGACTTAGCACATGAGTAATATAGAAGTCATGAGACATTGAGAAAGTCAGTTAGGGACAGGTTAAGTTAAGTAGGGTTAGATTTAGATCAACTCAATACAAGTCTGGATTTGCCTAAACATCCTTTAAAAAAACTGGAATATATTCTTATACAACTCCTCCAGTTCTGCATTCTTACAGGCCCAATAAATGCCATTTTCCACCACCAAAAATTACACAGCACCTTTTAATCTCTGTAATTTACTTTTTTTTCTTCTGCTATAGCGAGTGTCCACATTTCTGATGTGGTATGTGGTGGCCCCAGAATCATCCTATTAATTGATTTTGGCTGTTCTGAATAGATATTTATTTTGGAATGTTTTTCTTGGTGCTCCCATGCATCTATTTCTGGCTGCAAAACTACTGCTTATATCATGTTCTACATTATTTTTTGAGGTGAGGACAACTCAAAGATACTTAAAAGCAGCTTCGAACTAGTATTCATTCACCTTACATTCCCTAAATATATTACCTTGCATTGTGGCCACCATGTACTTGAGGGTTTTTTCAGTAATTTTTAGGTGAAATGGGCTCCATCCTCCAGTTACATGAATACTTCTTTCAATGCAGCAAAAAGCCGAGCCACAATTGCTACATCATCGGCATAAGTGCTATGTCATTCTGATATATATATACTTCCTCCTGGGGTATTCAAACAGTTCTGGTTTTTCACCTCTCAAATGATGTTCTTTCTTATTCCCTTGAGCTGCAACTTTTGGTCTCAACCATCAAATTTGTTTCCTTTCTTTTACCCTCCAAACTCTTATCATTTACTTATTTAGGGACAACCACAAAGTATCCTTTCATTTTAATTTCTTCAAGTTCAGTTTTTCTTTATTTTCTTTTAGTTTCAATTTTTTTTCAACATTCAACTACAAGCCTGGCATTTTAACTTAGGCCTCAACCTTCCAATGTAACTGAAATAAAATTTAAGTACTTCTCATCATACATGTAGTTGAATAAAATATTTCCCTTTCTAATTTTTTTTCTCCTTGATCTGCCCTGAACAGCATTACATAAAGGCTTCTCTCAAGAAGACTGCACCATATACTGAAGAACTGAGGAACTGTTTTAAACCAGGAAAGCTGATATTCAGGTAGAAAGAAGATGATGCCACCAAAGTAAGTAAAACAAAAGGATGTTCACAGGATGGAGTAATATCACCCCTGTTATGGAGTTTGCAGATGACAAAATGGAGGTCCCAAAATTAAGTACTCAGTATGCAGTCTAATAAAATTATTTCTTGCTGAGAACTGGATACAGAAAAAATTTGAAGTATTAAGATTTATATCATTATTGAAGATAATTTAAATTATTTTGGAGAATTAAATGATCAGAATACAAAGAAATAGTTTTAAAAATATTTAGATCTTCCGCAAAGTGAGAAAAAACTTAAAGCACGGTGTAAATGTAGTTTATGAACAAAACAAAAGAGGCTGTAAGTGAGCTCCCTGAGGGACTCCTGAAGTAACTGGGATTTTAAAAGGTTCAGAAAAATTAACTATTTGGAACCTGAGTGAAACCAAAAGAGATGACTGTTAATGATATCAATTCAAATGAGTCCTGCCGAGTGTGTCCTGTCTTTAAATAAGAGAGGGCGCCCCAAATCATACTTCTTGGAATGTGGTTCCCTTCAGGGACTTCTGCTGTCACTTTGAGCAGCTCATCTGGAAGGGTTGGTGAACATTACTGGTTGGTCTTGGGATGGATTGAGGGGTGCCTCCTCAGAATCTGGTGATGAGGATACTAGAGAAAGCGGGGTTTGTGCTCCCCAGGCACTGCAGCCTTCAAGCTTATTGAACCTTCCATGTTCTCTAGTTCAGTGCAATCGACTCGGTCCTTCTTCTCAGAAATATTAGGTCATTGACTGTTGCTGCTATAATTTCATTCCCTAGGTGTTTTCTCTATGCTAGGCCAAAACTCCTTGGATC